ATATATATATATATATATATATATATATATATATATGTATATATATATATATATATACTAGCAGTAAAAGGAAACCCTAAAAACAATAAAATGCACAACCAAGAAACAAAGAAACACCCAGCAACAAAAAACAGAAGGAGACACCCAGAAGCTCAAAAGGCGATACTTGTATGGGAGATGCCTGTACACCCGGAATAGCTGATAGAGGCACTTTCGAATAGCGCATGCATGCAGCTATTGAGATACAGCCAGTATCGTGCATGCCCCTCTGAAGGCTCGCATCAGCAACGAAGAAGGCCCTCTTCTATTTTCTTACCTTCGGCGCTGCAGCGGCAACTGGCGTTCTAGGGGCATTTGGCTTGCGCGGTTTATACTGATCGATGAACTTGAGGTATGCATCACTTTTATTTTTTGCATATTGCACGCGGAGAGGCTTCCCTAGGAACTCCTTTCCCTGCAGACCCTTCAGCGCCGCAGTAGCTGAGCTCAGCTCCCCAAACACCACAAAGGCCTGGCCCCGTGTCTTCCCGCCCGCGTTAACATCCAGCACCAACCCAAAGGCGCAGCAGAGTTCATACAAACACGCACGCAGCTCCTTTAAAGGGATGCGGTCGTTCAGGTTGCTCATGTATAACGTTGGGTTAGGCACAGTGTCCGCCATAACAATACCAGGGGCCCCTCCTGAAGACACGCCTGATGCCCCTCCAGATGCTGGGGCCCCTACCGGTGCTGCCGCAGGGGCACCACTTGATACTCCAGGGGGGCCCCCTCTAGGGGCCCCCGCAGCAGTGCTACTCGTGCTGGCAGCCATGGCGGCGCAGGCAAGACTGGAGGGGGGAGGCGGCGTTCTAGAAGTTGAAAAGAAGTCTTGCGATGCAAAAGGAGCAAAAAATAAAAGAAAAGCTCCAATAATAAGGGGTTAACGTAAAAAGATATTGCAGATATACCTCTCAAGCAGCGGCCCTGGCAGCGCAAGAGCAGCGGGGGCCCCCGGCCGTTCCCTTTCCCCTATTTTATAGTTCAGCTAAAAGAAAATAATAGCAAAAGCCAAACACAAAAAAAAACAAACAAGACTTCTGAAGATACAACTACAAACCCCCCTTCAGGCCTCGCGCCCTTTGCATGCATGCAGTCTGCTCAACAGCCCCGCCCCTCCCACACACCGATTGTGCGTAGAACATATTGTAGGAAATTTCAGCAAAAATTAAAATAATTTGTTTTATCTTTATTGAAAATATATTGGAAAAATCAAGAAATTGACAACGAGAGAGCTAACTTTCTTGCAATGCTTGCGGCAGTTCCTCCTCTGCTCGTGCATGTTTGCAGTGGATTGCTGTAGGGTACTTGTTTCTGCAGATTGAAGTGTATTTGCATCCTTTTTGTTTACTTCTGCTCGTACAGTGCATGAGGGAGGTCCTCCCTGCTCTAGTGGGGCCTAAAGAAGGGCCAGACACAAATTGGTATGCGTGTAGATCTCCGTGTTGTTATGATGGCTGCTGAAGGCCTGGCTGATGAATATCAAATGTTGTGGTTCCAGTGTATGCATTGAAATGGGTGTGCATATTATTGCTGCGTGTATGGCTGCCTATGAGGAGGGGCCTGCACCAAAGTGCCTTGAACGAGATCCTTGGGTAGTAGCCGTAGGGCGCTTCAGTAGAGTAAAACTGCCTTTGATAAGATAAATGCCCTAAAATGATTTCCTTTCTAGTGTGCAGATTTCGCGAGAAAGACAGAACAAGGGCCAGCGGCTCGTGCAGAGAGGGTAGGCCCTGGTGTAGTTGCTGCTTGGTAAACTAAAACGTGAGCATACGCAGGCCGCCTTTTGAAGCATGCTTTAAGACTGTAAAGAATTGCTCAACTAAGTATTGTCCCTTAGCATTGGGCATTCGCCCCTGTAGAAATATACGCATAAACTTAAGACAGAAGTTATTCACCCGGTGTTGCTAGAGCGGGCCGATCAAGTGCCCTATCGTGCAGCTGTTTGTGGATTGCAGTGCACTGCTTCTGCTGCCACTGGAGCTTGGTAAGGGCAGCTGCTCCTGCAGGAATATAACATCTAAGCATGCATGCACGCGCGAGCCTCATCGGCCAAGCGCCCACTTTTAGCCCTGGTGACGCTTCTTAAGGTTTTGAGTGCTGAGCGTACACAACCTGGAAGGAAAGAAAGGCTGGCTGCAGATGTATAGCCATTCCTCAGCCCTAGCAAGCCAGCCCCAGGAAACTGTTCGCTGCAGAACACTAGGGCACAGCTGCTGCAGCAGCAACTGCTGCTGCTCAGGCGCCAGCACCTCCTCAGACTCCTGAAGCTGGGGAAACGCAAAGACATGATGCAGCAACTGCTTCCAGCCGGCAGCAAAGTAGCATCGTAAAAGATCAGTGCAGATGGCTGGCCTATCTGGGGCGGGCTGCAATGCTCATACTCCTGCCTACAGCGTTGTATGTCCAGCACACCAAATCTTTCAGACGCGTATTAGTGCCCTTAAGCCGGCTTTTCTAAGCGCTGCTGTGCACCTCAAGTCCCTGAAGAGCAATATCTATCTAGTTTTGCCTGGTAATTTGAATTAACCTTAGTTTTCGTTGTACGCGTAGAAGAAAACTGTTTCTTATTCTCCCAGCGACGGAGGAGCAGTGGTGTTGCAGCTTGACAACTTCAGCCCTTTGCCTCTACTGGCTAGCTACGCAAATCAGACTCCTCTTACCCTACTGTTTCCTTGCTTGTTAGACTTCGTAATTATCATATACTTTTTATTGATTACTCTTTTGAACTCTGTTCTCCTGGCCCTATCCACCAGAGCACAGTGTACGCGACCCTCTCATTTTAGGGCCTATGTACTGGCCCCTATCCAGAGGACCGTCTGGTCTTTGTTTCCACATTTCTGTTTTTCTTATCCCCTCACTGCAGTGCCAGGCATTACAGTTTCTCCCTATCTGGGCAAACTTTACCCCCCCTTCGCACTGGATATAGCTCCCTACTGAGCTGCATCAGTTCGCTGCTTTGCTGCGTCTTCGTAAGCCAGTGCAGCATCTGCTGTTTTTTTGCCTGTTGCTGCGCTGCTGCGCTTGTTGCTGCTGCGTCTGCAGCTGTTGTGCTGGTTGCTGCAGCGTTTGATGCTGCTGCATTTGTTGGAGCATCTACTGCTGCTGCTCTGATTTCTGTTGAGCTTGCTTTAGCCGCTTCCGCTGCAGCTGTGTCTGCTGCAGCATCTGTTGCTGCCGCATTCGTTGCTGTCATCTCCTCTAAAGTGATATAGATGGGCCGCTACTTCCCTATGCGACTAGCCTAAAGGCCAAGGAAGGTGCAAGTGGTCTGCCGTGGTTTGGTCTTGCGCTCGTGCGTACCAATGATAAGGCAGTAGCAACTCTCAACTGCGGCTTTCCAAGCTGCTATCTTATGCTTCTCAAAAGGCTCTACGGTGGATTTCGCCGGATCAATAGGGCCTTGGCTGTTTCAATTGCTGCGGCTGCCTAAATAATATATCTGTACAATATGTGGATATGTTGTTAGCCGCAGGTGAATGTGCATGCCTAATCATTTATATTCATTCATGCCTAAGAGGGGCATCTATTGAATTTTCTCTTTCCTTCAGTTTGGGATCAAATGATTGGAAACAAAATGTGCGTAGATAAGTTGTGCATTGTGCAGATACAAGTGTGCATTTATACTCTTTGACTTGTATTGATATAAATAAAAATACGCATATTCGTGAATAAGGTATGAAAACGAATTGTATTGACATGAAAGGCAAGTAAAAGAAGATACCCGAGGCATTAAGGGTTGACACATAGACGAACTGCAGCAAAAAGCCACAAAAAACAGGCAGAACGCGAGATAGACCAGGCAAACAACGCGAGGGTGGAAGCCAATGTTTAAGCTGGACAGCAGCGCAAGCAGGCTTGGCAGTAAGATTTATACAAAGAGGCGCTCAGCAACGAGAATAACAGCAAATGGCTGGCGAGGAGAAGCCGGGCACACCGCGAGGCAAAAGTGCTTGCATTGCATGCATGCATTCATGCAATGATCAGAATAAATGCTGAGGTGCGCAGTGCCTCTAAGGCCTCGCCGCAGTTCAGTTGTTGAAGTCTTCCTCTTCACATCCCCCAACAATTCTGTGCTTTTTAATAGTTTTTATCACAGCCAGCAACTTCGTCTGCGCAGCAAACAACTTTCGAGTAATGGGCCCCAACTGCAAGTTGAAGTCGCCATATAATTCCTTCTCAAACCCAGGCATACCCTGCTGTTGCTGCTCTTGCTGCTCTTGCTGCTGCTGCTGGCTTCTTGCTGCGTGAGCGTCTGCCTTGTCGGCAGTCACCAGGCAGAGCGCCCGGCTGTCTGCGGACTGCTGCGTAATGTCGCTCCGCAGGGCGCTGAGAACTTTTGCTGCCTCAGCCTTCACTTCTGCGGGAAGGCATGCATCTGATGTTGCAGCTTCTGCTGCAGCTGTCGCAGCAGCCCCTATTGCTGCTGCTGACGCATCCACGGAGCTCAATGCCTTCTCTATCTCCGTCCGGTCGCTCGGCCCTGGCACACCAGCGCAGAAGCACAGGATACAGTAGAACAAGGAATGAAAATGAATGCAGAGAAACCCCAGCTAACACTCTTACTTCATATTTCGTAAATGAACTGGAGGCGAACGGCGGACAGGAAGGGACGGAAGCCCTGTTTCTGCAGCGTGTGCTGCTGCAAGACTTGTGATTACCTGTTTTGTAGATGTAGGTCTTCATGGGTGAGGCGAGGTTAGAAAGTTGTTTCTTCATGGTGCCTATCTGCTCGCGCAAAGCAATGATCATATCACAGGCCTTTCCGTAGCCTTCACTGGGCTGAGGCGGCTGTTCCGCCAACTCTTGCCAGGGCTGGCCACTGGGGCCACCCATAGACTCCGGCACTCGACTACCGCCAAGCGGAACTGGCTGTGCTTCTACAGAGCTCATTGTCGCGAATAATGCAAAGAAAGCAATGGTCGCCGCTTCACGTTTGGTGCATCACACAGGCCGCGGCGGGAACCCCCCGGCCGTCAGCGACAGAGAGGCAGAAACTTGGCTATTCCGCAGTTTAAACTGTTCAAATGCAAATGTGGCTTGCTGATTAAAGCAGAAATTCACGAAATCTCACGGAGATCCACCGCACGGTGGCCAGTTAACATTTCAGCTGCTGTGGACAGCTTCGGCGGTTTCCCGCAAGTCCCGCTGGGGCTGTTGTGAGTGTACAGATTCTAGGATTTTAAAACCCAATTATAGTTCAGTGGATGAACTTCACAGCTAGTCTTTAACATTAGGAGCTCAAAGTGATTGCTTTTTCTCCGCAACACTTTGCGCTTCCTCAATTCTATCTACGGGGCGTTCGGCTGCCGAAACACCAGTTGTCTGCCCATGGAACAATAGAAATATCATAGTTTACGTTGGTTTTATACTCAGAACCCCTCTTTTAACTTCAACTGCGTCACTAGAACCCCCCACCTGTGGCGAGTTGTCCCTGCTTGTGCGCAACGAGACGACCCGTGGCATTTCCAGCTTTCCCCTGGTCCTCCAAAGGCCTTGGAGGGAAACATAATGGAGAAAAATGAGCGAGAGGCCATTCCTGGGGTAGCCAATATGAATGGGAGGACAGTAGGGGCCCCGAGCGGGAATGGGTCGCCCGCTTTCCTTTTGCCTTCGTATGGCCCTCCCGATACGTCTGCAGCCGCGGCAGGCACCGCTGTGTCCGCCACTGCAGCAGCATCCGAGCTTTCACGCATAATAGAGAGGTCAGCGGCGCTTGGAATGCCGGAAGAAATCTCGTTAGACCCGTCTTGGCCCGCATTATCTGTGCGCCTGCACGCCCAGTACCTCTTGGGCTTGGGCGCCGATCCGTTCACCCTTGAGGCCTTCTTCGGCGTTTCTCTAAAAATGGGCGCTGCCTACTGGGCCTCCAATGCTCTATGGCTGCTTGGACTTCGCAGCGAAAAGACGAAACGTCTGTTGCACCAGTCTGCAGCCGCCTGCAACCGCAGCAGCCCCTGCCCCTCTCCACAAGAAGTAAAGTGCCACGACTATAGTACCACCAATAGCAGAATGGGGAGCGACAATAAGGAATGTTGCTGCGCTTGCAGCAACAATGAAGGTAACAGCAATAATGAAGGCAGCAGCAACAATGAAGGCAACAGCACCACCAGTGCAAAAGGGAGCGGCGATAGCAGCTCAGAACGTGCTTCAGTTCCGTCTCTGGATTATTTATTGGAGTCTCGGGAGGACGCAGTATGCGAATTTGTGTTGAGTTGCTTGTGTCCGTGTGGCGGCTTCAGCTCCGATGTGCAACAGGAGGCGAATCTGCCGTCTACGCACTACGCGTTGCTGTTGTTACTGGGATTAGGTCGCCTGCATTTGTTGCCTTCCCCTGCAAATACAGCAGCTTGGGTGCGAAGCTTGCAGCTTCCAAGTGGCGGTTTCATGGCTGATGCGTGGGGGGAAGCCGACAGCCGCTTTGTATACTGCGGCGTAGCGAGTTTGGCGCTGCTGGGGGAGCTTCGAGCAGAAGAGGCGAGCGCCGCCGTGCGGTTTGTGCAGCAGCTCATGAATGAAGATGGAGGTTTTGGCTGGGTGCCTGGAGGGGAGTCGCACGCTGCTTCTGCTTTTTGCTGCTTGGCGGCACTTGACCTGTGCGGAGGGCTGTGGGCAGTCGACCGGCAGCGGACGGCGCAGTGGCTGCTGAACCGCCAAACCCGTGGAGGAGGATTCAACGGACGACCCGAGAAGGCACCCGATGTTTGTTATTCCTTTTGGATATTTGCGGCTCTGCAGGTGCTGGGCTACGAGCAGTGGGTGGACAGCCGCAGCCTAAGTGAATTTATTCTGCTGGCCCAAGACCTAACAACTGGCGGTTTTGCCGATCGCCCTGGAGACATCGCTGATGCTTTTCACACTTTCTTTGCTCTCGCAGCCTTGGGAATGATGCACAGAGACAACAATCTCAAACGACTACATCCGGTTTTGGCGCTGCCCGCCGACGTTGCCGCTCTGCTCAAAGTTGCAAACTGCGCATTCGCCGAGACCACAGTGTAACCAACGCTTCATGTCTGTTCCGCAGTGCTGACTTCTTAGGGCAAATGTTTGATGTATCGCTTTGTCAGATGCAAGATACTTCAGACCCACCATTACAAACACGACGCGCAGAAGATGAGTGTGCCGTTTGCGCGTCATCAGAGTATTAGCTTCACAAGAAGACTAAATGCAGATCTGCTCAGGGGGCATTCTGCCGGTTACCAACGAAATCTGCAGACGGATTTCGTCGTTGCCATTCTTTTTTAGGCTTGTCCCTACCCGTGTCGACATATAAATGTTCTGCTGTAGCCGCCGGCTCGCGCGTGTACGGAATGCGGTGAACGTAAGCCGTGTGCTTGGCGATGCGTTAAACAAATGCACCATTAAAAATTTTCTGGTCGTCTATGCTGCTTTGTTCTAACGATTCGTGGCCTCTAGTCAGGACAAGCCGAAAATGCGGCACAATAAAACCAAACAGAAAAAAATCTTTTACGCACATACTGCATCATTCAGCTTTTGAGCTGCCGCTGCCTTCCAGGTCGGAAATGTCTCGTGTAGGGTTAACGGAAGGCTTAACGTTTTGCACTACTTTGGCTGCACCTGCTGGGCACACTGTGGCCGCTGATACTCCCATGTCATTTGGCTACCAAAGGGAGCGTTTCGTCAACTTGGCCCTCACGTGACATGGGAGAAGGTGAATCGTCACCTCTTGCTGCAAACAGGCGCAGACACAGTGCTAGAATTCCTGCACCCCCAAGGACTCAGAGGGGCTGAGTGAGCCAGGGCGTCTTCACGTGCGATGCGACTTTGTGAAAAACGCAAAACTTTGTGAAAAACGCAAAAGGGCAAGCAAATGCAGACGGCTGCACCTAACTGCACACCTGCAAAGTCCGAGCCGTGGCGACTGTCGACCTTGTAAGTCAGGTGGAGGAATCCGTAGGCCACCACAGTGAGCAACCAGGGCCCCACAGTCATGCATAGCATAGACAAAGCTATCGCGCGGGCGTTGCCGAGTTGTAGTGCCTGAGACTGAGTGCTGAGAGGCGCCGGCGGCATCACCTTGACGTAGCCAAACACATTTTCGCACAGAAAACCAACCATGGGGGCTCCCAATGCAGCGGCTCCGACGCCCTCAAGGCAAGAAACCTGCGAAAATAATCGGCAAGTCCACTGACGTTGATTAGGCGCTGCATCGGCCGTATTGCATCTTGAGAGAGGACCACAATGACGGAACAAAGTTCTTGCCCGCAAAGCAAAACGCACACGGCAGGAATGAACTCGTGCTAGCTATTCGGGTTGACTGAGGGCTTCACTCTTTGGTACAGTGGCATTTGCACCAGTTGAAGTTTCTCTTCTCACCATTGCAAATGTCGTGGCACGGTGCTCTGGATTAACTATTTCGGTAAGAATAGGACGATTGACACCGACACCAGGCCAGCCGGCCAAAAAGCCAATCAAGATGGCCATTACGACAAATATCCACAGCGACTTCGCTTCTCTCGGGACGCATGCCAGCATGACAGTCATGAGGACGCACCGCGCCACTATGCACACCTGCGCCAGGCACTGTCGGCCGTGGTTAGGGAACCGAGAATGTACAATATCACCTGTATACCCGATAACAGGCGCCACGACCATTGCTGCAATCCAGCTGGAGGATACGATAAAGGAAGCCCACCAATCTGGGATACCGCAGTACTGGAAGTACATTGTGGAAAAGTGAATTGCAGAGCGAGGGACTCCATTGAGCACACCCTGAACGCAACAGCAGCAAATAGACGCAGGTGCTGATTTTACTGCCCAAACGGCGATGGGCCAGTAGCAGTGGATGTTGGAACGCAACTGGCTCTCAACTTGCCTCAACAATTAGGTGCTCACCATGACAAGCATCACCCATACACTTCTATTTGAGAAGACATATGCAGCGTCACGGAGCGAAAACCAGCGTCCTTGTTCTTTTTGCCTCCGGCGCTGATAAGGGCAATCCGTCACATGGCATCCGAGTATGATTCCGACGATAATGGAGAATAGGCCAAAGCCAGCTAAGGCGTGCCTCCACCCTTTAATACTCAAAATGGTTAGGCCAGAAACAGATGTCGTAACGGTTAAAGAAACAACTCTGCCGAATGATTGGAAAAAGTGCAGGATGCCGAACCTGCGGCCGCGGTCGTTTTCGGGGACTTCCTGGGCTATCACCTTCTGTGAAAGAGGGCCCATAGCAGCCATACATACTCCGAGGATGCACAATAGAGGCAATGCTTGCCATTTTTGCGTTATATAGAATAGAGCTGTAGTGACTATCCCCCAACCGAGGGCTGACGAAGAAAATATGCGTCGACGCCCGCAACAGTCGATGACGAAGCCCCAGATCGGGCACGTTAATACGTGAGCAATGCGAGCAGAGGAAGATAGAGCTCCAAGAGTTTGGGGAGTAAATCCCATATCTCTTTCAAGAGCCTTGAAACACGCGGGGAGAAGCTGGTCTACGGCCCCATGGACACAGCCATATAGATACGTCAACCGAACAACTAGTTCCGAAGTTCGATTTAACCTTTTCCCGCACATTCGGTAGCATGAAGTGTGAGAACTAGCGCCTTGGTCTTCGTTTTCGGCATTTGCGTGGAAGGTCGCACGATCGGCATGGGCCCCGAGCCGGCCACGAACTTGCAGAGGTGCGTCGAGGTCCTCCATGCCTTCGCCGATGTTTTCATGGGGAAGATATTAATTTTATTTTTCGGTTGAGGTATTGTCTTCCATATGAGCTGTCCAGCGGTGTGAATGGATTCGCCGTGTCGAAGGTCGAAGAAGCTGCATCACCATTCTCCTCTCCAGACTAACGAACTCGGTTTCAGAGAAATGAAACTAAATTAAAGGGTGTCAGAATTCCACAGTACTTGAAAAAAAGTGAAGCTTCAAGAAAAAGTGGGATCACTGATTGACCGGTGTGGACGGTTGTCGTCGATTCGCGCTGTATGGACACTAGGTCCGGTGACGCTGCGGTGCTTGCAGTCGCATGCCAGCCAGAGTTGTTCCTGTGGACGGTTCACGAAGTGATCGTCAAACAAATACTGGAAAATGAAGCGCTATACATCGTGTCTCGTATTTGCCGCCTGGCTCTGCGTCAGTGCTAGGGCTGATGATGATGGCTATGTTCCACCAGTTCCGTTGCACGAAGCTGTGACCGCTAGAACTACTGCTACGGATATCAACGATGCCTCACTCGCCGGAGATAATGTAAGGGTCAATCATATGTAACAAGAACACAGGATGTTCAATAATATGGTTGTTTCAGGGAAAACCTGCAGAGGAAGTTGGTACGGCCCGTGTTGCAAACGCGTTAAACAGCAGCCAGACTAACACCACGACCTCACAGCTGATAGCCTCCGCCAAGGAGCATCAACACCCAAGGAAACGGGAGACGGGAGTACCTTAGCGAAATCAGACGTAAGTGACTCAACAGAAATACTGCAAGCGGCTGGGAAACTCACGTACGACGTTAGACTGAGGCTGCTCCACCGCAAAGTGACGCAGCGAAGATGAACGAGATCACCGGATCATCGGATGCGCCAGTAAATAGTTGTGAAATCGCTTTCTGAAACCTTTGAGTGTCTAATTTAAACTGATGCACTAGGCGGAAACATCAAGTCAAGCAACTTCGGTTAGTATTTTCCGACACGCGCTATCTCAACAGTTTTCATATACTCTCTTTCAGAGTGCTGCACCAGTTGCCGCACAGGTCGAAGAAACCGCCAAAGAACCTAAGGCAGCTGAAATGATGGAAGCTAAAAAGCCCTTGGCGATGGACCCCATAGCTGAGATGATGGGAGGCGAATTCAACACCGAAGTACGATTTATCAACGACCAAAGAAAATCTGCACAATAATATGCACACACGAATCATCAGGCTAACCAAAGAATGGCTGACAGCTTCCTTAGCGTTCGCTCTCGCGTTCTGCGCTTGAAGGCAAATCGCGATTTGTAACTGTTCCCCTAATGGACCTTTCGACCCCATCCTGTTCGGAAAGTGCCTGAGAACGGTTTCTATTTTCGGTTACCGATGCACTAATATGAAAGAACTTAGAGAGCTCCATAACTAAGCTGAGAAATAAGTATGCACCATTCAGTTACAAAAGCACAAAAATTGTACGTGATCCAGCAATATTAAGTGTTCAGAGAAGGCCCACGCAGGCGCAACTAAACTTCTATGCAGTCAGGCCAAAATTTGCGTATTGCGCCAACATGTGACAGCATACTAACCACAACAAAACTTCATGCATAGCAATTTCACTTTCTTCAACTGTACGAAAAATAGCACGACACTACGAGCCACGTCCATCGCTCCACTTGACCTACACCTACGGTAGCTTACTCCCACCAGCTAGCTTTGTTTCTACACCGTGAAAGTTATAGAAAAGCGAAATTCATCTGCTTTCTACGCATCGAACGAGATCGTGGCCTTCAGCTGAAAATGTCTCAGAGCATTGATCCGTCCTGAGCAAAGCAGCCTTAGCGGCGCAGCGGAAGTAACTAGGGTTGAGGCCGCTTCTCCAATACACTAGAAAGATTATATGTGATGTTTTTAGGTAACAAAGCATTTCAAACATCGAAAGAAGCGACTCGCGCGACCGTGGAGTCGACGGTCCGGAACGGTGACGCAAGTTGTCACAGCTGGGCAGCGGCCAACCATGCAGCCTAGCACACATTTCTTGCTGCTCAAAAAACCTCCAATAATCTAGGAAAACTCAACTTTTTAAGTTGAATCTCTTCACTATCTTGTCACGTCCTCGCAGAGAACTCGAGAGACAAAGCCACGGGATGACATGCAGCCAAAAAGTCCCAAGGGGATCCTGGCAGGGGTCGTCTACATGTGAGAACACACATTTAGGGAAAACGACCAAAAATGTGGGGAGGTAGTTTCAAAATGAATTACATATCTTAGTATTGCGTCAATTAGATGGGTCCCCGGGGCTGCGCGTTTCGACGGGTCGGCAACCCATGTATCAGACTGCAAGCCAGCGTGAGGACACACGAATTCGATGAGCACTGAAGATTTACTGGGGGTGAGCTAGGTGACTCCGCGTCATAAGGCACCTTACTTTTCTCAACAGGCACTGATTGTCACAGTAGGGGCTACGCCGCTGGTGGGTCATCAATTCCAGGGCAGCCGGGCGTTCGGTCCGTGCTGGCGAATAAAGGATGCCCAGGCAAAGAGTGACGCCAGCTGCCAGCGTGGTACACCACGACTCTCTCAGTCATGAGGGACAGCAGGGATACGATGAACAGGTTGACCAGGCAGAGTCGCCTAATGCATCAGCGTCCCCAGATCAGGACTTCCCACGAACGGTGAGCAACACTGTAGGAGGCCTATTAGCAGCGCACCTGGCTAACTGGGGGCGCTAAACGGAACTATGGACTAGCTGCGGTATTTTTGGCGGTCAGACTTCCTACGTTGTTCGTGACTGCAGAGGAGCGTGCGGGCGGCGATGCGGCTGCCCATGCTCGGCTGGGAAGCTGACAGTTCATTTCATTCATAATGCGTCTGTGTTTGCCTTTGCACTCTCCTCTTTGCAGCGCGTCGTTCGAGAGTGCTCAGGATGCAGTGATGGCGTAAAACGCACTTGCGGCTGCGGCCGATGTTACTGCTGTTCCCGCGCTGCCCTTGATGACTTTATGCAACAGAGGATGTCGGCTTGGGAGCCTTTACTCACTCCGAGACGTATTTTATTCGTACTTTTTGGAGTGGGTTTGGTCTTTGTTGTTTTGGGGTTCGTTATCCTCTTAGTGAACAGCGGCATCGTGGAATGTAAAGTGAACTACACAGATATGGTTGGAGACTTGATCCTGAAGGTAATGCAAAGCTAACTTTCCACCGCAATGAATGCCTCTGCAGAAAGTATACAGTACGATCCTTCTTAGAGGACAGAGGATAGACATTTTTCAATGTGTTCTTATAACGACGTGAGCGGTTGCCGCTGCGTTCATTGCAGATTGACGCTTCGACATGCACAGATACTTCTATTACGGAAATAACGGGAGATGTATTGCTCTACTACGAATTGTCTAATTACTTTCAGAATCATCGGCACTTCATGAAGTCACGATCCGACAAACAGCTGGAAGTGAGTTTATTTGCTTTAGGTAGCCGCCTGCTCGGTACGGTTTTCAGTCCACCTCCGCGTAGCTGTTCCATTTGCCTTCCCCTACTCTCACTATCTGCGCACGGTGCGTTGGTGTGAAGGGAAGTTTGCAGGTGATACCTGATCGCTTCCCACCATGAAGCGTGCAAGTTTTCCTTTCACTGTTATGGCCTGTTAGCGCTGGCTTGAGCAGCAGTGCTATGCTTTTCTCTTTTGCGTGTCGCCGAATTAGGGAGAGGTTTATACGGCAGCTTCAGACGTGCGCACTGCGTGCGACCCGCGGGTGGAATCCTCCGACGGGCGTGTGCTGCATCCGTGCGGTTTGAGTGCGGGTGCGGTATTTACGGATGTTTTTTCGGCGGTGGCGGAGGACCAGCAGACGGAAATTGAGCTCGACGAGTCAAGAGAAGCGATTTGCTGGGACTGGGACCTTTCTACATTCAAAAACCCTTCCGAGGAAGAAATGAACGCCGCCGCTTCCGAGGTTGATTTTTGGCTTTTCAACCAAACTTACGCCTCCGCCCTACACATGGATAAACCCGGTAAAGCCAGAGCATATTCTGCTTGCTTCCCGCACTCCATTCCGTTTCCCGTGCACCCCAGCAGCCTTTCTGCATAGCTCTATCACCGTAGACACAGAGAGGACTGCATTCAACATCGTGGCACTTGTGAAGTAGGGAGGAGATTGAATTCTAGTCAGTGGGCGGCAGGTGTTGTGAGCAGGCGTGGGGTGGGGAGTGGAGAATTCACATTTTATTGTCTGGATGAGAGAGGCCCCTTTGCCCGTATTCCGGAAGGTTTATGCGCGGTTCGTGGCGCAACCTCTCAAGCTTCCCTTTTATCTCAAAGTCACAAACAACACCTACGACGTCAAGTCGTTCGGCGGTGAGGCATCTCCTTTGCCTCCACCTCCATCCCATCCGCCCATCTGTTCCCGGCAGTTTCACTGTTTCCGTCCCATTCATAACGGGATCTAGACGACCAGTGTTCGCTACTGCTCCTCTCAGTGTGCCTGGCCTTTATTTGCCTTGTCGGTCGCAACAGGACCTGACGGCGAGAGCGTCTGTGGGCTGTTTATGTACATTCATTCCTCCGCCCACATGGAGGCATGGAGGGCGCCGAAGGATTTGTAGCTTTATACGTTTGTTCGACTGATTGCTGCTTATACACGAACGTGCTTCTGCGTATGGGTGCAAGTCCGCTTGCGCTAGTGTGTGGGTACTTCTGGCCGGTGTCTGTGCTATTGTGCGGGTGAGATGTATGCTGGGGTCTCAGGCCGCCATCTAACGGCCCATATCTTGTAATTGTACCGTCTGTATTTGCCTTAGCTTCCTACTTTTCCACATTGTTTTGTGTGTGCTCAATGCAGGTTCAAAGAGCGTAGTGGTTACGCAGGCTTCGTGGCTGGGCGGTCGTACGTCTTTTCTGGGCATTGCCTATTTGGTTGTTGGGAGCGTTTGCCTCCTTTTCTTTGGCGTTCTTTTTTACTACCACAGGAGGAACCCCAGGCACTTGGGAGACGTCTCCTGGCTGCGAAAAGCGCTTTATTCCTAGAGAAGTGGCGCATGCATGCAAACAACTCGACCTCGTGCTGCTGCCCAGACCATGATGCGCATGCAGTTGAAGCGCACGCGGTGGTTTAGTAGCCGGCAGCAGCGCTTTCCGAGAGACAGAGCTTGCTCCCTGTCTCTTCGTTTGTTTATTTGCCGTTTCAGAAGAGCAGAGCTGGCAAACAGCCACCGTGTGGGGCGCAGTTGGTTGCCTTGCCTGCTGTGACGGCGGCCTTTCGTTTTGTTGCCGGCGGTTGATGAGGGCATAAAATGCTTTTTATGGTCCCCTCGCCAGGAGACTTGGTTTTCAAGCATTAGAATGGGGATGTATCGACAACTCCAGGCTGGTGGCTGCCGCCGGCGAATTTTCACCCCTCGGCAGTTGCGCAAAGCTGCTGCCTTTTTGATATGCATTGGGGCGCACTAATCGGCAGTTCCTCTTTTATGGGCCTGCAGTGAGACACATGTAAGGAGAAGGAGAGCAGGGCGATGCAGGGCCATTTCTGGACGCATATAATGCATAATATAATATAACATCTTCCATGTATATATAATATATATATATATATATATTGCGCAGTATGCGTGCATGTATAATGTTATTTGCATGGTTTAGCGAGTGGGGGATCCCTTGGGGTGGAAGCTCCTGGCTCTGTCTTCGATTTCGTCTATCCAGGTGGCCAACTGGTAGAAGCTGACCAACTCGCCCCGTACTCCGTGGGCCATTGCTGCAACGAGTTGTTTGGCTTCCTCTTCGGAGGCGGCTGGCTTCAGTCCGAGGAGGTTATCCATCAAGTCATCCTGAGGATTCCACACATGGAAATACTTTCCGGTGCAGATCGTTGCATTTCATAGCGCGCAAACAGGCGTGTGCCCAGGTGTATGCACACAACTGTAAGCTGACGGGCGGCACTCGTGGCAAGCCTTCGCCTCACCACCGTCATATATCCGTCAGCATCTTCGTCGAGAAAGTCGAAGAGGTCCTGAGAATAGGGCAGAAGATGGGAACGGCCTGACAAGCTTAGGAGAATCAATAGCTGCACCCGTTTATACGCTTCCCTTAAGTGTGGAGGCGCAAGCGCTCTTGTCTCATCCTCCAGCAGGTGCATGATCATCTGAAAGAGGATGTTGAATGCATGCATTTAATATAATCAACAGAAAATCAACTGGGGAGAGCAGGAGGAGGAACATACGGCGGTGAAGGCGGGGAACGTGAGGCTCTCAGAAGCGTCCAAGGCGACGACCCATCCTTCTATATTTGCGGAACACGTTAAAAATTCAGAAAAAAAATGTTTAAGCGAGATAGGGAGTATCTGTGTGGGAAATGGCAATAATCGGCGGTGCAGCGGCAGCTGACCTGACCTGCTTTCTCTTTGCAATCCGGTATCCTTTCGTTGAGCGCGAATGCCTCGATCATTTTATGAATGTTCGCTAGGGGAATTCTGGGTTCTTCCTTAAGTTCGGCAAATGCGTGGAAAATGTCTTGATATCCCTTTTGCGTTTCTGGGGATAAGGAGTCGTACAGTTGCTTCGCTTCCTCTATTTCATCGCGCGCGCGGCCTGGGTGCGCGGCGAAGAATGTCTCGGCCTTGTAACGCAGAAACTGAAGGATTTGGAACTGCCGTTCCAACTGGCGCAAGTGAAGGCGCTGAGCGCTGGCTGCAATGGCCTGGCGGCTTGCGAGAGAGCCGAGGTTGCTGACGACGGTAAAGAGGGTGGCGATGGAAGGGAAGAGCCCCATGCTGAGAAAGAGGACTAACAAGGGGGCGATGCCGCTCCAGTAGCCCAACACCCCAAACATGACGTGCTGGTAGTGCGGGGAAATCAGCAGCTTCGCGGCGGCGGTGACGGCGACAACATGAAGAGACAGCGAAAGCTGAATCAAAGTCCGCAGCGCTGGGATGCCTCTGGGCCCCAGTACAAACAACGATTCATGCGCATTCATTACTCGGGCACCTCGTATCAAAGTGCAGATGGCCCCGTTGCGCGTTACTGGTGGCAGTGCTTCAATGGGAGCGACTGGCAGTTCTGTCGAATTCCTGGGTTGGGCAAGGCCTTGTAAATACTCATCGATCTCCTTACTGCTGGGGGTGTGGTAGTTCAAGACACTTTCCAGTCTCCAAAAGATAAAGAGATTGAAAAACAAAAGGGCCCCTGCAGCGAACACAAGGAACTCAACGAGTGGCTTCGGGCTGAAGCCGAAGACCGGTCGCAGCGACAGCAGAATGGGAATAAACAACGCCCAGGTGGATATCGGCACCTCTACCATGTGCAAGAGAGTCTCGGAAAGCCTCTCCGAGAGAAACTCGCCGAAATGAAATTCGCCTTCTTGGTGGGGTGCAAAGGGCGTCAGCGGATTCATAAAGCGGTAACGAATGTACCAAAAACGAAGGGCCGAGTCGGAAGCCTGTCGGGTCTTCACGAGCTGCTGAAATTCTAACGTGCCCATCTCGTCGTACCTGTCCGTGGAAAGAAAAGGTGGTTATTATTAGATGGCAGGAACGTGAAGTTCAACTGCTGCTTACCTTCTCCACTCTGTCGTAGTCGCGACCGACAGGGTTAACAGCACTAGGATGCTGATTGTAAAAATCACCAGCAAAAGGAATACGATGATGTGGGCGCTTTCAAATAACTCAAATATAACAGTTGGAGCCGCGTAAGGGTTTCCGCTTTCTTCCTTCAACTCCGCTATGCCAATACGCTCCAAGGAGTTCTGGCCAAGCAGTTTGTCGTTGATGGCCATAGTCAGGCCGAAACGAGTCGCGAAGAAGAGGAGAAGAGAAATAAACCCCAGTACCGTAATTTCTTTTGTAATAGCGGTCACCACCTTCAGCACATGGTGCAGACGGCAATGCTCCAAATATTCCACAAGCTCCTCATGCGCCACCTGCAGTATGTATTACGTTTGTCGTATTCTTATCTTATTCCAACCACCGGCGTACCTCAAATACCAGAGTGAGGAACAAAATTACGGCCAAAATTGCAATCGTGATGTTGGCCAGAGCGAAGCCGTGGTCGTGAACTTCTGCTGCAACGCTGCACGCGCCAGAGGAGGCAGAGCAAACCATCCTTGGGGAGAGTGTTGAACTTTGAATGAATTGCACGAAAAGCAGCAAAGCGGAAAAGAGCTAAGAAGTGTTCACTTGCGCACAACCTAATGCCTTAGATCCAAGCCAAGTAAACCGTAGCACGGAGGGGCTTTTCAAGTGTCTCGACTTCAAAACTCACAAATGCTTTTGTTTTTTTCACAAGCCGCTATAAGATTAGCGGAGGCTATAGAAGGAAGACCGGAGGCAGCTACACACTCAGCTAAAGATCGTAGATCTCTCCTTTAGAGCAACCTTACAGCAGATTTACATGCGTAGATGCACTTCTCTGAAGAACAACTAGCGGCTTTGTCGGGAAGCGCAGCAGTGAACTACGTATTGGGTTTGTTTTGGAAACTGCTGAGAATATTCATCGTTACCTCTTTCCTCTAGGTAGAGTAGCACGCTGCTGCTCTTCGGATGTAGTTCCACTCAACCGGTTCCGAAGTATACATCAAAAGATTGTCGGGAAGCGCAGCAGAGAAATCCGTATTGGTCTTGTTTTGGAAACTGCTGAGAATAATCATCGTTACCTCTTTCCTCTAGGTAAAGTAGCACGCTTCTACTTTCCGGACGTAGTTCCACTCAGCCGGTTCTGAAAAATACATCGGCAACGGTGCGCCATTTCCACTGTGCGTATCAGGCGCCAACCCGGGAATTCGTTTACATTGTGAATAACTCCTTGGCCTCTGTTTAATTAAAATGGTGCTGTTTTATTATATTGGTATGGTATTGTAGTAATACAGGAGCTCGTAAGTTACATCATGCGTGCAACAGGAATAGAGTTACGTTTTCTCGAATGGGTTTCCGCCTTGACAAGTAAGCTATTCCGAGTCGATTTTGGCCACGTTGTAGCTCAACTGGCAACGAGGGAGGCTATTCCGTGCGTAATAAGCAGAAACCAGGGGCCTCTGCTCCCAAGTAACCCTCTGCCTCAAACACTGCGCACAGCATACATTGATCTATCTTCCATACTGATCTATCTTCCCTGGTGAAGGATACAGTGTGTCAACGAAGGCTAAAAGACACGGCAAACAGGCATACATGCCGCTCAAAAAAGAATCAAAGTGCAGGAGACACTTGTCTGTACTTGTCATCTTACTCGCGAGTCCGTGTCCGTGGAAACAACCCAAAAGAAGCCAGTCCAAAGGGCGGTGCTACCTAGAAAGGAACCGCCAACCCATAGAGGAGAAGGATAAAAATATCTCTATTAGAAAGATTAAAATGCGACACATGGAATTCCACAAGTAGTCAGCAATGGCAAGACGTGTAACTGTTTTGCAGTTCAGCTGCTCCCCTCGCTGTGTGTCCGTGGTACTTGGTAGTACGTACTACTTGGTGGGTTTGACGGTTTCACAAATTATTTGCTGAACAAATGGTTAATAAATACACGTCTTAAGCACAGTATGTTGAGATTTCGACAAGAACACAAATAGCGGCTTCAGAACGCTGCGTGTGCAGGTTCGCCTCGTGCAGCTTCGCGAGCATTCAGTCGATATTCTGTAGCTGCTTCTCTCCCAATTAATTCTTCCGTGAGGGCGCAGAAGTCTCTTATTTGTTGTATTTCGCCTACCTTTGGTGTACACACATAGCAGGATATCGCCTTTTGAACCCTCACAGGTTCCTGGTGTCCCATGTGACTTCCCGCGTCTTTTGCGTATTGTTGTCTGTAGTTCTTTGGTTGATTGTTCCCTCAGCCTCTCGAATAGTCCTCTCTCTTTTCTTCTTTGCATTGTTTAGGGTCAAGGCTTGCAAAGGTTCACCTTGACGGACGGCGAGTACTCGTGAGCCCGTCTTCTTTCGAGTGGCGTTCATCGTTCTGCGTAGCATACCACCGCCACTTAGAGCGCCTCTTCGGGCCGCGGCCGCCGCCCCTTAACAGGCGGAGCTGAGCAGCACAAGCATGGCGGAGGGAAGCGGATCTCGGGGAGGAGCTCCCTCTCGTTCCTCGACGCGCGCCTCCGAGGCAGGTGGCGCTGCATTTGTGCATGCAGGCCGTCGCAGTTTATTGGGCCGCACTACAGACACCTCTTCAGCCGACTCATTCTTTGCAGCTGAGCCGCCTCCCCCGAATGTCGCCACTGCGGGGCTCCGTGTGCGGCAGTTTGTGCGGCCGCTGCTGGAGAATGAGGAGCTGAAGGAGGCCAAACTAGCCTTCATCACGGCAGGGGGCACAGATGTTCCTTTAGAGGTGCTTTATTTAATGCGTCATTCACTACAGAAGAGCTTCATCCTGTTGCTCCCAGACCACATTTTCCCCGGGCTTACTGTGCACCGAGTGGAAGGGCAGCTGACCCTGCCGCTGTTGCTGCTGCTGTTGCTGCCGATGCTGCTGCTCCAGTTGTGTTTTGCGTATATCGTTCTGTGTATGTCTCTTTTGGCGTGTGTGTTTTGTCGGTGTGGTGGCGTTTCTGCGGCTGATGCTGAATATGCTGCTGGTCGTTACTGCTGTTGCTGGAGCTGTAGCTGCTGCAGGGCGTCCCACGCAGTGTGCATTTGTGCGTGTGTATGAGCGACTGTCTTGTGACTCAGAGGGAGGCCGTACGGTATATAACCAACACGAGTTCGGGGGCACGAGGTGCCGCTCTGTGTGAGCAGTTGTTGCGTTTGGGCTATTACGTTGTGTACCTCACTTCCGTCCGAGCTATGAAGCCCTTCGTACGGCACCTGCTGCCCACACACCCGATGCCTCACATGCTCGACTTCATCTCTCTCTGCACCGTGCAGCACCAGCAGAAAGAGGAGGGGCAGGAGGAGGAGGTAGAGGAGGAGGAGCAGCAGCCGCAGCCGATAGTTGAGGAGCCTTCTTCAGACACGGATGCGTCTGAGTGCGAGGAGGGCGTTTCGAGTCCATCGCCGCCTCCTTCTTCTCGCCATTTGGCATGTCAGACATTTTCTGCGGTGTACGAGGCGGAGGAAGAACCAGACGCGCAAGTTGTTACATCAGTGGGCTCAGTTCTCAAAAGCAGCGACCAACCAACAGATGAGAACGCACCTGCTGAGGCGGAGCCTGCATCAGCTTCCCCTTCAGCTGACGCAGGAGAAGTAGCAGCAGCAGAAGCAGCAGCAACAGCAGCCGCAGCAGAAGATTCAGCTGGCGGCGAGCTGCCTTGGCGTGTGGTTTTGAGGGGACCGTTCGATACGGAGAAGGGGGACGAAGAGGAGGCAGCGGATTCATCGGGTTGGGAGTTCGATGTGCGAGAGGCTGCGGCTGCCTTGGAGCTGTACAGACACTGCAAAAGTCGGCTGTTGTGCATCACCTACCGCACCCTCGTGGACTACGCGTTCATTGTGCGCGCAGTTGCAGCGGGGGCGGCACCTCTTCGCGAGCGACTGATGTTTTGTTCTGCTGCTGCTGTAGCAGACTTTTATTTGCCATACGCCGTCATGTCGCCCCACAAGCTCAAAACACAGCAGCAGCAGCAGCAGCTGGCGCAGCGCCCCGCCGCTGCAGCAGCAGAAGGTGCGGACACAGCGGGGCCTCGAGATATGCACAGGGGGTCATCGCGCTGGGGTTCCTTTGCTGCTGCCACGCAACCGAAACGCTGGTTCACTGGGGAGGCCGAGGTAGCGGACACAGCAGGAACAGCACCAGGAGAGACAAGAGAGGGGCCGCAGCAGCAGCAGCTTCAGCACCAGCACAGCAGCCACCACCACCTGACACTGCGTTTGTGGGTTGCCCCAAAGGTGTTGTCTGTGGTGCGTAGTGTAGCGCCTGAGTGTTTTGTGGTCGCTTTCAAGTTGGAGACAGACGCGGCGCACCTGCAGGAGTGTGCAGCGCTGTATTTGGAGCCCGGCGACAGCAGCAGCAGCAGCAGCAGCAGCAGCAGCGGCCATGGGATGGCGGACTGCGTCGTAGGGAATGTGCTCAGCTCGCGCCGCCAGACCGCCATCCTCTTCACGAAAGGAGGCCAAAGACAAATCAGCTTCAAAGGAAAACGCTCGCATAAATACTTTGGGGTACTCATACACGCACGCACACATTATATATATATATATATATATGTATATACCTGTATATGCATACACACAGCAGAAACAGCAGCAACAGACGGCACAGACGAACGGACAGACAACGGCCCGCAAACGCACGCAGCTCAACGCCCCCAGATCGAATATGCACACAGCAGCAGAAACAGCAACAGCAGCAGACACAGCAGCAACAACAGGAACAGCAGTAGCAGTTCCTGTAGTAATGACAAATGTGGTGGTTTGGTTAGTGGAGCAGGCGCTGCTGCAGTGAGGCATTCGGGTTTGTTGTAAGGCTGATCGAAAGACATGCGTGAAATTGACGGCGAAGTGCTTCACATGGGGATGGGAGGCAGCTGAAGTACACAAACTGCCGCTGCAGCCGCTTCTGCTGCTGCTCACGCTGCTACATGATGCGTTTGTTTTTGTGTTTTGTTTGGCACAGCACGGGACGATTGAGGCGCGTCTGGCCAAACACCTATTAAAGCTGCAGACTCTGAAGCTTAAGGAGGCGTTCCTATGAACAGCAGTATTTGCTCGCCGTATTTCTGGGCTCTTTAGTTTGTCGGTAGACTGGCAATTCCGTCTATTAATTCGTGTCATTTTGTTTTATTTATTGCACGCATTGGAAACGAATGAAACCGAGATGGAGGGGCGTTCAAGGCCGCCCCCGGTGCGGTGTGTAGGCAGCTCCGACTGCTGCAGCAGCAGACGCTCTTTTTTTTCTCAACAGGATGCCGCGGCCGCGACAAGTGCACGCACAAATCTGCACTTCGGTGCTGCAGCGGCGCTACACTGAGCAGTCCGACTTTCAGGTGTACGTGCGCCTCCTTTCTGACTATTTGTTGGGCGCTTTCTTTGCATCCCAATCCGTCTATTCATTGTAAATTTTATAATGCACAGCATATCTATTCCAATATGCACGGATGCGGATGGGCGGATCGAGGGAAGCTTGTGTGGTGTGGTGCTTTGGGGTAAAAACGATACAGGCGCAGGACGAAGGCAATGCGGCTGCCACAAGAACCCTCAGCATAATTGAATAAATGCGATCAGAGCATGCACCATCAGCAGCAGCAAAAGCAATTAGTGATAGCGCATCTCTTTGCTTCGAGACTGCCCTTATCCCTAACTCCTTGATGCAGAAATGGGAAAGGGGGGGCAGACGGTCAATCTGCCTCGCACTGCTGTTACTGTACTGTTGCTTCTGCTGCTACTTTTGTTGCTGCTGCTGGTGTTGCGGTTGCTGTTGCTGCTGCTGTTGCTTGCTGTGGGAAGACTTCAACAACTACCGCAGTTGAGTCTCTTGTTTGTTTTTTCTTTGCTCTGTTTAAACTGCTGATTGGGACGCTACAACATCAATGACGGTGAGGGGCCTGAGCTGCTCTGACGGGAAGCGGCAGTCGTCTGTGTCGAGGGGCCGCAGGAGCGCGTCTTTCCTCTTTTGCTGCTCCCGTCTCATCCGCTCTGCTGCTTGCGCTTGTATTTTCTTTATCTCCGCCTCTATTCGCCTAATTAGCGACAAACGAGACGACGCAGCAGCAGACAAACAAGAATCGGGAACTACACCTCCCAATTCCGGTTGCTGCATGTCCTCGTGCAGCTGGTCCCGCTGCTGCTGCTGTTGCTGTTTTTGATGCTGCTGCTTTTCTTGTTGCTGCTGTTGCTGCAGGAGTTGCAAGGTTTGTCTGAGGTCACTGAGTGCTTTTTCTGTTTCTTTTTGTGCCGCCCAGGCCATTGCCCTGCGGTGGAGGAATTTGGGGTTGAGGGGACTTTGTTTCAGAGCCGCTGTGCAATCATCGACGCATTCTTTGTATTTCTTTAGGTGAAATAAGGCAGCTGCGCGGTTCCCGTGTAACTGGCCAACCAACTCTTCGCCCTCTGCTGCTGTTGCTGCTGTGGAAGTTGTGGTGTCGCCCGCAGCAGCAGCAGCAGCAGCAATGCGCATCTGCGTAACAAAGGCGCAAGATGGAGGTTGGAGATATTAATCCTGTATTTGTGAATACGCGCATCTTTTGTTTATGCTTCTGCTCTGTACCTGGGAAGGTAAATATGCTTCTCTCTATTTCTTCTATCTGTCTTTGTTTGTTTTTCTGTTCGTATGTTGGTTTGTTTGACCAGTTGTTGAATATCTCCTCTTTGAATGCATTCCGCCTTTCTCTTTTCCTGCTTGTTTCTCTGTCTCTGTTTGTCCGTCCGTCTCCGTTTAAGCCTCTATCTTTATCTGTTTATGTGTGTGCCTTCCTACCTCTGTCTCTGTTTGTCTCTTTGCCTGTATCTCCTGCTTGTCTGTTTGTCTGCAACTCTGTTTCTGTTAATATCTGTATTCGGCTGGTGTAGCCAGCCTTTGTCTTTCTGGTTTGTTCTTTGTGCCTTGTGTCTGCTATTCTGGCTTTTCCTGTGTTGGGTTTATCTTCCGCTCTTTTCTGCTCGTTTCTCTGTACCGCTATTGTTGGTTTCCAGTGCTTCTTCCTGCCGGTTTGTTCGTTTGTCCGCATTGTTCATGCCATTGATTCTACTTTTTTCTCTGGCATTCGGTGTACCTTTACTTCGTTGAGGGCTCGCGTGTATCCGTTGCGTGCTGCGTTGAATTTCCCTTCTTTGTACGCTTCATTTGCTCCTGCCTTCAATCTCTTCACTTCTTCGAACAACCCAAACGCCCCCCCACCTCCTGATAGCGGCGAAGAGCCGTAAATCGACACTTTCGGGGACTTTCGATCCAAACCCGGCCCCCGGGCTGCTACCTGCTGCAGGTGGGTGCAGCCAGACAGAAAAAGAAAAAAACAAACTACAGAAGAATCAATTAGAAAAAGGCAAAAGAAACAAGCAATCTACAATGTAATACAACCATTTAAACAAACACGCACGCCTTCCGCACGCCTTCCTTCTACAGCAACCAGATTTCTATGAATCTTCCCCAGGCGGTTTTTGTGCGTATGAGTCTGCCTGTTCCGTCAAAACGGAAACAGTACGTTCGGGTGTATCCGCCGTTCCTTTAAGGCTTAAACAGTCGGAAGGACGAGGCTGACTGCCTACAGAAGAAGCTTTCTTTGCTTTTGCTGTTTTTGGCTTTTGCCTGCTTCGGTTTTCTTCTTCTCTATCCGTCTCGTCGTCAGGATTAAAGGCGTCCCAGGCCTTGTAGTAATCCGCAAGAGGATTCAAATCGCGTACCAACTTTCGGTTGCTTGTTGCTGTTGCTGCAGGCCGCTGCGCTTGCGGTGGCGTAGAGCCACCCAAAAACGATGGCCCTCCCTCCTGATTCTCACTCGCTAGCTGCTGCTGCTGCTGTTTCACATCCTCATACTGCAAGAGATGTTGTTGATGCTGGGTGGTTTTCTTGGCGTCTTCGGTTTCTATTTCTTCTTCGTGTCGCTGTTGCTGCTCACTTGTTTCCACTTGAGGAACTTCCGCCTCTGCAAAGCTGTCTTCCCATTCTCTTAAGTCGGACAAATATGCTCGCAACTCCTCCGCATTCCGGCGGATCTGCATCTGTACAGATAGCGACATTTTATTACTTCTGCTGCTTCTGCTGGTGCTACTACTACTGATGCCACTGCTACTTGCAATGCTGTTCCCGCTACGCTAGCTGCAGCTCCTCCTCTGAAACCGCACACCCGCCTTGATTGCTAGCAGCTGTACGAAAGCATGAATTTCGCCTATTAATGAAGAGACGCTGAACCAGTCCCCCATATGGCAACCCCGTTTGACTTCGTGCTGCTCAGCAGCAGAGGTATTTCCAGGCCCCTAGGCGAGGAAGCAAGTGCACCTCATGCGTTTCTATCTATCTATTGCGGGTATACTTGCCACATTTTAAAGATAGAAGAGCTTCTGATAGGTGCACGTGCGTGATTTTGCTGATGCTGTGATAACGTCCCAAGGCCTTCCTGATGGTAGGATACGTGAAGACTCTACTAAATTTCACGCTGCCGATTCCTTGTCTCTCTGACAGAGGCTGCTACAAAAGCTTTAATTTCAATGGAGTGCCTGTCTGCGCGCTGTTCCCAGCAAACTTGTGTTTGTCTGTCGCCGCTGCAGGGAGCTGGTATGATGACAGCCTCCTGGGGGTAAAGAAATCAAAAGTACAAAGAGAAAGACAACGAAATAAAACAATAGTCCAAATAAACTGACACAGCAAACTCAACCATTCCGCAAAACACCGAAACACCGTCCAGCACTTGAACTGCTCATGAGCAACCTAGCAAGTTTTCTACAAAAGGCAGTGCATTACGTAAGAAAATAAACCAAAAGGAATCTAAAAGCATTTAAGACAAAATGCAATTCATAAGGAGCTGGTTTATGGGGCTTTTACCCTAGGATCACTCAAAAGAGGTCCCCAGCTTTCCGATTCGACTACTGTGTATGCCGAGCTTCCCTTGCAGAAGAACAGAGCACACTGGGGCGTAATCTGCAAGACATGTGTGTTTTATATGACGGGTTTGATTGTTAGTTCCGTGGAATCCTGAGTATTACCTGCCGCTTCCTCTCTGCTGCCGTCGGTGCGGAGGATTAGCAGAAATTATTCTTCTCTGCATCTGGATGGGCACGAGTTCGTCTCTGAAGAGAAGTCATTTATGCCTCATTAATGAGCAACACACCACCGGCCTGAAGACGTCAGATAAGCTTCAACCCTCACTGAAAGGAGCGTGGGCGCGTCCCTGCTCTAATGTTAACAGTGAGTAAGAGTGGACTGGTTTTCACGCTTACCTTTCCGTAGGAGGGGGGAGTTAAGACAGAGAAGACGCAGTTAGCTGCGGCCATTCCCTTTTTATTCTATTATTTGGAGTCCTCTGTTTCCCATTTCTCTGAACGGCACGTTTTCGCCTTTGAGTTGTGTGTACACCTCGCTGCGAAGGATGGAGCCACACGACAAAGCGCGTGGGGTTGAGCTGAGGAATTCCTCAGCAGTTCCTTCTGAAGAACTGGGGCATCCCGTGAGTGCCCCTGCAACAGCAGCAGCTGCTGCTGGTTCTGCTGCAGCAAGCACCCGTCCCGCTGGCGTTTCTTCTTTTGTGCCGGATGCGTTTTGCTGCCTTCACCCATTGGCGCTGGAGCAGCGGCAGCAGCAGGGAAGTGGAGATTGGCATTTGAGAGCTACGAGTAAATCGGTTCGTTCTGAAGCGGATTTGCGTCGTTGGCTTTCCTCTCCGACCCACACCCAATTCCTCAGCTTCGTGGGACGCCTGGCGAGGCATGCAGCGGGGAAGAAGACCCTCCCTAGTTTGTTGTATGTAAAGAACAGCAACAACAAACCCCAAATCCCCTCTGCAGGAGCAGCTTCAATGGCAGCAGGAGCTGCTGCAACAACAACAACTGCTGCTTCTGCTGCAGACGCTGCGCAGGTGTCGGTACAGTCGGGCGCTCGCGAGTTGCTCTCTGGTTTTGTTCCTTTTAGTGAACTGCCAGCAAACAGAGCCTGCTGGGCTCTTGTAGAGGTGCTGCAGCAGCTGTTGAAGTGGGTAGATGAAATTCCTCCTCTCGAACAGCCAACGCGATTTGGTAATCAGGCCTTTAAGACCTGGTGCCGCCGTCTAGAGGAGGTGAGGTGGCTTGGTGTGCATACACCACAACACGACCTATTGCGGTTATGCTATGGCCCTCACAGCACCTTTTAATTTATAATAATACTAATATGCCTCTATAATAATTATTGTTGTGCATGAGAGTAGCAATAAATAGTAGTGAAGGGGGTTCTAACGACCCTCTTCAGCAATCATTAAACGGCCCACTGCTCGTAAACAAAAAAGATATTCAAATGGCCAGAGAAAGAGACAGCAAAGCAGAAAACAAAAACAGAAGACGAGATCTGACTTAAAGAACACCACAACTAAACGGTAAAGGACAGCTGCACAACACTTCATCACAAGGAACACAAAACCCTCAATTCAAGATTTTAAAGGAATAGTTCAGCCCTCCAACCCTGTCATAGTCCCTGGGACTCCGAATTAGCCCTTGCACTCCCCTTAATCCGGGGACTCCGTTAAACCCTAGGAATCGAAACCGTGGACAGTTCTTGGGAGGCGTGAACCTTATGAGGCATAAGGGGTTTCGGGTTGCTTGTGAATGCTTTATGAATAAAACAATAAATATAGTTGTATCGTCTGACGGCACTTCTTCGCCGGTTTAGAGACGTGCGGCGGTTGGTTTTATTTTTAATATAGTCTTTTTGGATAATGGTTCGGCACTTCTTCTTTGTGCTGCTTTGAACACCATCAACACCATCATGAGAGGGGAGAGGACAGAAGCGATACTTTTGGCTTGTCACACACATTCGTCATTTGCTAGATGGAAGAGGAAAGGGCCGTTACGTCTTTGCATGCCGTTGGTGCTTGTTTGGGGAGTTCTAGCAATAATAATAGTGATAATAGAAACACTCATTATAGTAACAATGCTAGTAATACTTCGGTTTGGTGTCAAATTAAAATCTTTTTGCGCGTTGTTTCTGTTTGCGGCTTGCGGTTGTCGGCGGGCGTGCTGCGGCGTACGTACAGCATATGGCGATGGGTTTTGTTGTGTATATATAACTGAATATGTGTTTGTTTCTTCAGGGGGCAGAACAGCTGCTGTCGGGCGTATGGGCAGCTTGCGACGACGTCGAAGTGACGGAAACTGAAAAAAAGGAAATGGTGGACATTTTTTGTTCTTCATTCGGCAATCCCGTCCGCCTGGACTTTGGAACTGGCCACGAGTGTTCTTTTGCGATTTTCTTGTTTTGCTTATTTAAGAAAAATATACTGAAAGAAGAGCAGCATGATCCATTCGCCGTGTTGGGCATCTTTAAAGGGTCCGTCACCTTCGTCTTTTTCGCATGCCTTGCTTTTGTATCTGCTACCATCTTCGTTTTTTGCTTTTATTGCGTTAGCTCTCCTTTCTTATATGGAACTCGGCGATGTGCCGCTTTGCTACGTTTTTTTGATCCTCTATAATGTCCCCACCTCCCAGTCCCACTGTAGCTGTTGTTTCTGCTGTTATACGATATTTCAACTTTGTGTCCTTTGACACCCGGTTCTATCTGTTTTGCCTTCTTTTTTTAGCGGTTTTTATCCTTCATTGTGCACTCACTTCCTTCCAGTAGCAGCAGCAGAACGCCACACCACAGCAGAACGCAGCACGCAGCAGCAGTAGTGTTTGTTTGTGCGTTTTCTTGCTGCTGCTGTTCTGTCAGCTATGTGCAGGTTGCACATGCGCTGCAGCAGCGGTACATGCTGGAGGCTGCAGGCAGCCGGGGTGTCTGGGGATTGGACGATTTCCACTTCCTCACATTTCTCTGGGGCGCTGGGCAGCTGTCGGAACAGCAGATCATTGAACCTGCGCAGGTGTCATATGCTCTTCAGTCTCTGGCTCTGTCTTCACTTGTTCTTCTTTTGTTGTTTGTGTCGCATTCAAAAACAGAAAATGCCAACGTAGCGAGAGAAGCAGCCGTGAACGTGAATATGCGTGGTTGTTCATTTATTATATGCCCAGCGTAACTGCTCTGCCTAGAATATCTACATGTAGTTTTTGTATGTATGCATGTACATGTGCACACATATATGCAGTTAGATATGCTACACATAATTATGCATGAGTACATGCATATATATAATTTATACCTACGTACATATATATATATATATTATATATATATATATGAGACATGCGTTGAACATGACTTGCATTTACGGTGTAAAAGTGGTGCATTGTGCGTTTGTGCAGATAATGGAAAGAGACCTGGTGCAGGAACTCTCTCCAGACCTTCTGTACTTCGACTCTATTGAATATGTGCTGCAGGTAAGCTGATACCCCCCACTGCTAGCGGCTGAGAGCACAAAATTGAAATTCAGGGAGACAAGAGAGCAGTGAGAGAGCAGTGAAATATGTGAAAGTGGCAGAAGAACTGCATTTGCTTCTGTTGCATCCTAAGAGAGTAGTCGTAGCTACCAAACCATCAGAATAAATACTCTTCTTTCTGCTGCATGCGTTCAACTTGCTGCGGGTCTGCAAAGACAAAGAAAGGGGCCCCCTTCTTTGAGTGCTCTCCCATCTTGTACGACGTCAGCGGCATCAGTAGCTGGTGCGTTTCCTTCTTTGTAAATTTGGTTTCACTGGATTTGTTTCGATGCTGCTGGGAAGTATAGCATCTATAAAGTGTTGTTATGCGGCGCAATAATACCAGTATTGTTACTATTAGTATGGCCTTCGGAATGCGTCCCCTCTTACTAAATTTCGCCTTGTTGTTCGCCTGCAGCGTCGGCTGTCTGGAGTGGTGTGCGCACAGAGCAAAGGCTGTTTAGTCCGTATGAATTTGTTTTGTGGGTGACAATGAATAACAACCAGTGCTTGTACTAATTAATAGCCGTGGTTTCGGGGTTTTTTTGCTGCAGGAAGAAGATTTGTTCAGGATTGATTCGGATGTACGAGGGCGAGGTGATGTGCAAGCTGCCAATAGTGCAGCACTTTCTGTTCGGTTCTCTGTTCCCACTATCGGGTTAATGAACCACCTTAATTCTTTTATTTGTTAAAATAATAAGCAATACACAGGATTAGTAAACAATACACACAAAGAAGGAAACTGATTGCCTCCTCAAGTCCCTGTGCAGCACGAGACACGTGTAGAGGCTGCAACCAATTTCGTTTGTAGTTCGCAACCCAACTCCGTCTTTTTGATAGTGGTCGTGCTGCGTGCTGCGGCTGTGAGTTTTCCTGTTATTCTTGTGTTTTATAATCCATATATAGTAATATTACCAAGTTATCCATGCAGCTTCACTCTTCTTCCCGTTTTGTCAGTCCTCCAAGAAGACTAGTATACTATATTCATATACATATACATATATATATTATATACGTATAAAACATATATATCATGTTAGCATTGTACTATACCATAGGTGCAACACTCCTTGTTCCAGTATTTCGGTTCCCTCCTCTTTCACATTGAGACTACTCCTCAGTTTGGCTTCGTTTTGTGTTTTAAGGCTATTTACCACTTCACAAGATGCTTTCTATTTCAATGGATGTGAGTTACTGCATTTGTAAAGTATTTTCTTTGCTTATGTATTGCGCCTTCCTTGGGTCTACTGCATGTTTCAGTTGTGCTTGTGGGCGGCTATTTCCACAACACGAACCACGTGTATGACATATAACATTATGCCTTCAGCGTTTACGTATTTAAACTCGAGATAATTTATTATTTGCTGCGTTTTGATTGACATCAACACGACGGGGCTTAAGTCGCTCTCATCTCTACGGGGAATTTACGGCGTTTGTGTACGCCTCACGGCCTGTCGTTGAAAGATCAATCGATCTTAAGGAACGTGGAAAAAGATTCTTCTAATTATTAAGTTTTTAAAATTTGCATTTAAAGCAGAATCACGAACTTTTCTTAGGCTAACAAGACCCCGATGTGCAGCAAACCGCCGAGCAACCTGCATGCGGCTGCGGCACCAGTGGAGTGGCGCGGGATCTGACAGGGTATTGATGCTTTTTTTTGGGAAATACTAAAATTATAGGGAACGTTAGAATGGTTGAACCTATGGAAGGAAATTAATAGAGAGATCAATGGGATTTTGGGAGTTTTCAAAGGGTTCGGTGAATGGTGGACGAGTCGACGGCCTAGGTTGGTATTCACCAGGAGCTGCAAAATAGGGAAGGACGGCTTTAAATGACTTTGTAAGTAGAGTTTTATTTATTTAATCAATTTTATCAATAAAGAAGAACTGACAATGCAGTCAACCGAGCATCAGCGTTTGGTTTACATCGGTGACCCTCTAGGCGATGCCTTCGCCGTGGCTTTCTGTGGCCGTTGAGCCGATCTTCGCATCCTCTCCTCCTTTTGCAGGAGGCAGCGAGACAGATTGGTGCAAATATTATTGATTTAAAAGGAAATATACCACGAATATATCGAAATGAAGGTAGATATTTAACTTCTTCGGACCGGACCCTGTGGAGTTTAATCATAAGGAAGAGAATGGCGTGGCGCGATCGCCTCGAGTTGTTCCATTTTTCTTCACCATCTAATGCGCAGCATAAAAGACGGGAAGATTCGCTCCTCAAAGTGCGGCCTTCCCCGTTAGTTTTTCAGGGCTGTTGTCCTGGCGTGTGGCTGCGCCGTCACCTTTGTCTTACAAATGCAGGGGAGGCATCAGAATGCCTTTCTGTCTCGAGTTCCAATCCCTCCCTGATATTCGTACACAAAGAAAGATTCACCCTTCCACCCCGCTCTTCTGTATTTCTGCCTGTTGTCGTTCGTCTGCTCCCCACGCAGCAGCAGCGGCAGCAGCGGCATGACGGTGCCCCAACGCAGGTGGAGAGGATCACCATAAAAGGCACAGCAGACTGCACACAAGTGCCCGTATTTATATCTCAGACGCAGGCGGTAATTGCAGAGGCCGGCGGGTGTACACACACCCCGCCCTCAGGACTCCCGCAGGAAGGAGCATCGCTTCGACATCCCCACAGTCTGCCGCGTGATGGCTGCCTTCTTCTCTCCCCAAGAAGAAATCTCTTTCGGTCTTCTTCCTGCCACTCACAGTCCTTCTCCCGCACTTCTACTGCCAGGCGAGCTGCTGCCGAGAGCAATAGAAGATGCAACAGCAGCAGCAGCAGCGTCCCTTTGGGCGGCAGTCCCCCTTTCCAAGCACTGCCATTCCTGTCTCTACGAGATAAAGGCAGCACCAGTTGTCGGCTGTCTGCTGCTGCCTCTTCTGGCTTCTCCCCGAACTGGCCCGTCGTGGAAGTGCAGAGACTGCAGCAGCAGCAGCAGCAGCAGCAGCAGGAATCCTCCAGCCCTGTCATATGGGCCAGACAGCTCTGCGTCGATCGCTCTAAACACCCTTTCGCCTTGCCTTCTTTTTCTGCAGAGCCGCTAAACTCACTCCTGGACTCCCCTTGGCTGCTCAGCAACAGCAGCAAGAAGAGCAGCAGCAGCAGCACACCATGTGACGCGTCCGCTCGGCGCTCGGGTGCTGTGGCAGCTTCCCTGACGGCCTCATCTTCCGTCTCGCCTTTGCCCTCCCGTGCTGCTTTTGTTCGTTTGGAGGATCTGTGTACCCAGCAGCAGACAGCACCAGCGGAGGCTTCGCAAGCACCAGCAGCAGCAGCAGCAGCAGCAGCAGCAGCAGACACCCTTCTTGGCCCCTGCACAGCAGAAAAGCTTCAACAAGGCCATCCCGACAGCAACACCGTCGCTGCTGGAGGCCTTCTGCTTCACGCCGCCCCAACGAGAGAGTTCTGCACCCTCAGCACAGACGCATCCAAAACCCCCTCGAACGAGACGCGCACGCAGCAGCAGCAGCAACAACAGCAACAGCAAACTGCAGCAGCAAGTGGAGAGAACCTGCAGCAGCTTCAGGCCGAGAATCGGTTCCTGCAAGAGGCACTGAAAAACAGCAGAGCAGAAATTGAAGCTCTCGAGCTGTTCGGGCAGCTGCAGCAAACTGCTCGTCAAGCGCAGCAACAGCAGTTGCAGCAGCACAACCAGCAGCAGCAGCAGCAGGTTCTCGTGGTAGCAGATTGGCGCCAGCAGCATCTGCTTGCATCCGAGGAAGTGTCCTCCCAAGTACCAAGTGCAAAGCAACAGCAGGCGAAGGAAGACCACCAGCAGCAGCAACAACAGCAACATCAACAGCAGCAGCAAAAGGACCACGAGCAACAGCAGCAGCAGCAACAGCAGCAACAGCAGCAGCAGCAGCAGCAAGAGCAGCAGGAGCAACAGCAGCAGCATCAAATGGAACAACAGCAGCAACTGATGCAGCAGTTACAGCAATCCCGACGGCAGCAGCCCCAGCAGTTGCCGAAGGAACAGCAACAGCAACAGCAACAGCAACGGGAGCAGCAACTTGAGCCATCAGGGCAGCAGGTGCAGCAGACAGAAAGGCAAAAGCAGCACCTTCAGCAGCCACAGCAGCAGCCGCAGGAGCAGCCACAGCAGCAGCCGCAGCAGCAGCAAAAGCAACAGCAGCAGCAACAGCAGCAGGGGGATGAGGAGAGGGCTGCTCCCGTTGGGGTAACTGAAGAGGAGGCATTTCAAGGCCTGAGGCCTCCGTCTTCGTTTGTGCGGCAGCATTCAACCGACATCCTGTGTGGCTTCAGCAGCCAACTGCTGAAACTCGCTGCCAACGCCGCACAGCAGCAGCATCAGCAGCATCAGCAGCAGCAGCAACTGCAGCAACAGCACCAGCAGCCAGATTCTACGTGCTCCTGCAGCGGCTGCACCAGCTGCAGCATGTGCAGCGAAGGAGCACAGAAAGATGCGATAGGCAGCAAGAAGAAACTGCTGGAGCAGCAGGAAACTGCAGCTCGGCAGCAAGCAGAGCTGCAGGCGCTTAAGAGTGCACTTGCTGCAGCTCAGGTGCAACACGAGCAGCAGCAGGACCTGCTGCAGCGCAAGCTGCAGGCAGCAGAACAAGAAGCAGCAGCAAAGGCAGCAACAGCAGCTGCCGCGGAGGAACGGGCAAGTCAGCTGCTGCTGCGCTTAGAGGAGCAGCGGCAGCAGGCTGCTGCTGCAGCACGTGCTGCCGAAGCTGCTCGTGCCAGTCTTTCGCGGCGCTTGCAGGACTCCCTCCAGCACTCGCAGCAACTCAACAAGGCGCTGAATGCAATGCAGCAGCAGTTCTCCTTCCTCTCTTCCCTGCAGCAAAAACACATAGCAGCAGCAGCAGCTAGGCGGTCGAACAAGCTTCGGCGGGGCCGCGACCGACGGGGTCCACCCAAAATAAAGCCTTGCACGAGCACTAGCGTCACCACCAGCGAAGGCAGCAGTAGCAACAAGAGCAGCGACAGCAGCAGAAGCAACGGCGACGGCAGCAACAGCAGCGACATCAGCAGCCCCAGGCAGCAGCAGAGATTCAAGCGGAAACAAAATAAGTCAAAAGACTTTTGGGTGTTAGAGGTGCCCGAAGACATTCAGCAGCTGATGGATTCTCTAGAAATCTCAGCAACAGCAACAGCAGCACCAGCAACAGCAGCAGCGACAGCAGCAGCAGCGACATCAGCAGCAGCGGGAGACGCACAGGGCATTGGCATTGCGATAGAGACAGCAACATGCACCAAGCAGCTGACGCAAGCAGCTTGCGTGCCGCTGACTCCTGCAGCAGCAGCAGCAGCAGGTTCTGCTGCTGCTGCTACAGAATACCGAAAGCATCATGGGCGGCAGCAAAAGCTTCCTTGCGCTGCTGCGAGCCGCAGCAACCGCGGCTGTTGTTGCAGTAGCAACAGGAGCAGCAGGTGCTCCTGCAGCTGCAGCGCCAGCTGCTGGGAGCTGCAGCAAAGACTGGCCCAGACAACAGCAAATTTGATTGTTAAGACGCAGCTGCTGATAGCGCAGGAAACAGCAAACAAGGAGCTGCAGCAGCAAGCAGCAGAAGGCACAGCAGCAGCAGCAGCGGCAGAAAGTGCTGCAGCAGAAGCCGAGAAGAGGTTGCTGTGCGCCTTATCCCGCAGCGCCTCCATTCATGCGCAGCTGAAAGCTACTGCTGCAGCGCAGCGGCAGCTACAGGCTTCCACTAATGCAGCAGAAACAACAGCAGCAGAGCTGCAACAAACCAACAAGGAGCTGCGCCTACGCCTTGAGGCCGCCAGCAGCGAGAGAGACACCTGGAAGCAGCAGCTGCAGCAGCAGTTGCAGCAGCAGCAGCAGCACCAACTGCAGCAGCAGCTGAAGCAGCAATTGCAGCAAGGATGCGATTGCATCAAGACACTAAAGAAGCAGCAGCAAATGGTGGCGCTGCACACACACGCAGCCTTCACAGACAACAAGCAGCAGCAAGTGCAGAACGAGCTCGTGCAGCACCGGCCTCGTTGCTGCCCTTCCTGCATCGCGGAAGGAGAGTCCGCAGCAGAGGAAGCTGCAGGAGCACCAGCACCAGCATCAGCAGCTGCTGCTGCAGTTGCTGCTGCTTCGGCAGAAGCAGACCCGCTGGTTTTGGCGATGCAGGAGCTCGCATGCAGTTTGAGAGAAGTAAAGGAGGAAGTGAATCTTATGAAGACAGAGACAGATACAACCTCAACAGACACCCCAAACTCAGCAGCAAACCCGTCGCAGCAGCCTAAAGAAGCAGCAGCCACAGCAGCCGCAGCAGCCGCAACCTGGCGCTTGCCCCAGGCTGGGAAGGGCCCCCAAAAAGGCAGCACCAACACCAACCACAACCACAACAACAGCAGCAGCAGCATCAGCCGTAGCAACGTGCTTGGTGAACTGCGCGAGACAGGGGATTCTCTGCTTGAGGGCGTCAGCGTTTGTGTGGTGGCTTTGTCTCACCGTTTATCTGTCTCGCAGCAGCAGCAGCGAAGCTCCAGCAGCAGGAACAAAGACTTAAGCGAGAAACTGAAAAAAGAAATGGCCCTACGACTATCAGCACAAACAAAAACGAAGTACCTCAATATGGAAATCGCTACACTAGAGAGGAAGGTCTGTTTGTTCGCTTTTTTGTTTGTTTGTTTGCTTGCTTGTTTGTTTGTTGCTGCCGCCTTACGCGAGGGAGATTGGGTTGCGGCTGTTTTCGCTGCTGTTGCTGCTATTGCTGCAGCTGTTGGCGTTGGAGTCTTGCGCAGCATTGGAGGCTGCGCGAGCAGCAGCATATCATCGCGAGCATCAGGAGCTGCAGCAGCAGCAGCAGCAGCAGCTGGCTTTGGCTTTGAGCCGCAGGGAGGAGGAGCTGCAGCTTCTTCTGTCTGAATACAAGTTGCAACAGCAGCAGCTGCAGCAGCTAAAGCGGGCGCTGCGCGGGGCCCTGTGCAAGGGTCGCCAGGCAGCAGCAGCAGCAGCAGCAGCAGCAGAAGACGCAGTCTTTCAGCGCTTGTCAGACTGGAGGCAGTCCTTAGTTCGCACGACCTTAGATGCAGCACAGAGCTGCTGCAAGGACGTCGGCAGCAGCATCAGCACCGCCGCGAGCAGCAGCAGCAAAAGCAGCATATGCAGCAGCAGTAGTTGCAACAGCAGTAACAGCAGCAGCAGCAGATGCAGCAGCAGCAGCAGGAAGTGGAAAGGGTGCAGGAGCAGGGCGTCTGCTGTGCAGCGGCGTCGGCTGCAGTTTTTGGGATTAGTTCAGCGACTAGCAGCAGCAGAAGTTGCAATAAAAGAATTGGCAGCAATTGTGGAGGAGACAGCAGCAGCAGCAGCTCACACTGCCACGCAGCCCCACAGAGACGTACAGCAGCGGCAGCAGCAAGCAGCTTCGCCCTGTCTGGAGTTTAGCATCTCTGTCTCTTCAGCAGCAGCACCGGAGAAGGAACGAAGCCTCACGGGAGAAATACAAGGACCAAAAAACACAAAGCAAAACACACAACCTGCACATTGCAGCTCCTCTTCCTGTAACTGCAGCAGCAGCAGCAGCAGCAGCAGCATTTCGCGTGTATGCGCATGCCTCTGCTGCTGGTGTCCAGAGAGCGGCGTGGTTTTGCAGCAGCAGCAGCAGCAGTATCAGCAGCTCGTTTCTGCGTATGCAGCGCAGCAGGAGCAGCTGCAGCAGGCTCTAGGAGCTCTTAGGCGCTCTTCATTGGAGGCAGATCGACTGCACAGCAGTCTGCTGCTGCAGCAACAGCTGCGGTGCCTGCAGGAGGAGACAATGCTGAAGGAGCAAACAGCAGCAGCAGAGGCAGATAACCTCAGGCAACAAATTCAGAAACTGCAAGTGAGACACACAACCAACACCAGCAGCAGCAGCAGCAACAGCCGCAACAGCTACAGCAGCAGTAGCAACATTAAGCAAAAACGAATTATAAAGTGTACAAGGAGGCAAGCAGCACAGGCATAAACGTTTGCTGTGTATACGCCTAATGGCAGGTAGCAAAAGTACTCTGCTGCTGCTTCTGCCGTTGTTGTTGCTGCTGCTGTTGGTGCTGCTGATGTAGGAAGCTGCTGCTTTGGACCGGCAGCAGTGGCAGCAGGAGTTGCTGCTGCTGCACCAAACGTACTCCACCACTTTGCTGCAGCGTGTTGCTGCTCAGAAGCGTGGGAAGCAGAGGGAACTAGAAGCAGCAGCAGCAAGCCACAAGCAGCTGCAGCAACAGTTGCAGCAACAGCAAGCAGCAGCACGCGCGCTGCACCAGCAAGTGGGGCTGCTGCAGCGGGAGGCAGCAGCGCAGGGCTGCAGTAGCGAGCAGCTGCTGCAGGCGTTGGCTGAAGTTCAACAGAAGGAGACAGAGAAAACAGCGGCAGAGAGCAGCAGCACCAGGAGTGCTGCAGAAGTATGCCTTTTTTGTGTTGCATCTCTTCCTTTATTTCTTCCTCTCTTTGCCTTTGTCTCGCTGTCTTTATACCTCCCTGCCTCCTCTTCTTTCGTTCTGTTGCTTTGTCTTCCTGTTTTTCTCCTCGTCTACTCTCCCTCGTTTTGTTTTGCTTAATATTGGTTTTTTGTTTTCTTTTTTTTGTTTGTTTTGTTTTGTTTACTTGATGTTTCTTCACTATTAATACGTCTGACGCCGGCAGTTTGGAGTGTACGTCCACCTTGTGCATGAAGCACCACATTCAACTCGACGCATTCACATCAATGCTGCTGCTGCTGCTGCCGTATCTGCTGTTCCTTTGTGTCTCCTTTTCTGTTTGAAGGCCCCCGGATCCTCTCCGCGCAGCAGCCCTGTTCAGCGTTTGTTGTCTCTGTTTGTTGACGTACGATTATGCAAACCCTAAACACTGAACCCTAAGCCCTAAGCTCTAAGCCCAAGGCCTGAGCCGCCGCGTGACTATAATTTTATCGCTCTCTGCTGCTTGTTATGTTTTTGTTTTTGTTTGTGTCTGCTTGTCTTTGGCTTTCGTTTATTTATTAACTTTTGTCTCTGCTTTGCTCTGTGCTCTTCTCTCTTTTTTCGTGCCGCTCTATTTGTTGTTTTGCTTTGACTGGCGCCCTTCACTTATCTGTTTATTTGGCTGTTTATTTTGCTTGGGCGTTTATTTTACTCTATTGTTTATTTATTTATATATGTGCCTGAATATTTGTTTCTTTATTATGCCTAAATGCTCTTGCCGTTCGTTGGTTTATGCAATATTGCTTGTAGACGTATTTTTCGTTTTTGTTTATTTGACTATTTCCTTCAGCTTTGCCTCCGCCTCACATACCTTGAGAGAAAACAAAAAGCGGTGTTGCAGCCCTTTTCGCCGCTGGAGCAGCAGCAACAGCAGCTGCAGCAGCGGCAGCAGCAGCTGCAGCAACACGCGCAACCATCAGAAGAGTCCCTCACCGCCTACCGCTTGCTCTTGGGGGGCTTGGTGCAGCAGCTGCACCGTCAGCAGCAGCAACTGCAGCAAATAAGGCAGCAGCAATACCTGCACGAGGGTCCGCAGCAGCAAAAGGACGCCGCACGCACGACAGTGACGGTCACAGCCGCTGTTCCTGTTGCTGCTGGTGCTGCGGCTGCTGCTGATGTTATTGGTGCTGCTGATCCTGCTGCTACTTCGGTGGTAGACGTCGGCGTCCTTCGGCTGTTTCTCTCTGCAGCGAATTTGAAGACCAGTTGCAGCAAGTGTGCTGCGCAGGGTGTGGTTTCTGCTGCAGCTGCTGCTGCGGGGCATCATCAGCAGCAGCAGCCCCAAGAGGCTGGAACAGAAGAAGCTGTGGCGCTGCTGCAGGGAGTGCAAACCCTGGGAAGCCTTTTACTTTTTATTGCAGCAGCGCAGCAGCGAATCGCCGTGCTGCTGCAGACAGACGAGGCAAATCCTTCAGGGAGCCCTCAGCTTTTCAGCATAGCCCCTGCTGCTGCTGCTGCTGATGCTTCTACTGGGGTAGCAGTTCAGGAGCAGGCAGCAGCAGCAGCAACAGAGGGAGCGGGGGGACTATCTAGAGAGGGTGTATGGGAGTGTTGGGTGCTGCTGCGGGAAATTCAGAGGTCCGCAGCAGCAGCAGCAGTAGCGACAGCAGCAACACTTTCGCACTACCAGAAACTTAGTTTTTCTGCATACGAATGTGGAGCGGCCTCTGTTGCACCACACAGCAGAAGAAGTGAAGATACAAACGCCAAACGCATTAAAATAGGAGCAGCAGCAGCAACGGCAGCAGCAGCAACTGCAGCAGCTACAGCTGTGCCCGCTCTTCCAGCAGCAGCCCCAACAACGACAGCACCAACACCAGCTGCAACACCAGCACCAGCAGCACCAACAACAGCAACAACAACAGCAGCAGCAACAGCAGCAGCAACAGCAGCAGCAACAACATTAGCAACTCAAGAGAAGACACTGCTGAAGAGCAGTCGTCTTGCCCCTAGTAGTGAGGGGCCCCTCACTAACCCTCACCTCAACCGTGCAGCTACTGCTTTCCGCTGCACTGCAGCAGCAGCTGCAGCAACAGAGCCAGTAGAAGCAGCAGCAGCACCAGCGACAGCAGCAGCAGCAGCAGCATCTGGATCTGCTGAACTGCAGCAAAAGCCTTTGGAGACATTTGGGGACAACAAACTATTATTAAATTTTTTCAACGACAAAACCAAAGAAATACGAAAGAGCAGCTGCAGCCAACTTGTAGCCGCAACACACCCAGCCCAGCAGCTGCAGATATCCCAACAGCAGCAGCAACAGCAAATGCTACAGCAAATGACACAAATGCAATTAATGCAAGCCCAACAACAGCGGACGGGACTGCAGCAGCACCAGCATTATCTCCTGCTCCAACAGCGCCAGCAGCAGAAGCAGCAGTTGCGGCAGCTGCAGCAATTGCAGCAGCGGCAAGGGCGGCAACAGCTTTTATACTCGCAGGAACAGCAACACAAACGGATTGAAGGCCTTTGTAGCGAGTCACAGAGCGCTGCTTCTCCAGCAGCAACACCAGCAGCAGCAGAAGCACCAGCAGCGGCAGGGGCAATAATGGAGGCTCCGTTTGCAGCACTTGCGCCCTATGGCAACATCAGCAGAAATAATTACTGCATGCGGGAGACCCGCTGCAGTGCATTGATGGTTGGTGATGCTGCAGCACCGCAGCAACACCAGCAGCTGGAGCAGCAACTTCTTGCTGCTACTGTCGGCACACAGCACCAAGACCAGCAGCAGCAGAGCCTGTGGGCCCAGGCCAGCGGCGCCTTATCCTCGCAACAGCAACATATGCAGCAGCAACTGCAGCAGCAGATACAACAGCAGCAACAACTGCTACTGCAGCATCAGATGCAGAAGCAGCTACAGCAGCAGCAGCATGCGCAGCTCATTATTCCTCAGCTTTCGAGCCGTTCGCATCGCCATGCGATGTGCGAGCAGCAGAGAGAGGGGCAGGGGAATGAGATGCAGCAGCTGCAGCAGCAGCTGCAGCAGCAACGGCCAAATGCTTCGTTGGGTGTCGGCAGGAATCCACGTGGTGGCTGCAATGCCCCTCAGCCGGTGTACTGCAGGCCTCGCCTTGATACTGCCGTTGCTGCTGCTGCTGATTCTGCACTGTGCAGGGGTTACGAGATACAAGAAGAGCAGCAGCAGCAGCAGCAGACGCAGAAAGACAGTTCAAGTGCTGGTGCTGTTGCTGGTGCCTGCCGCTTTTTCCTGAAGAGGTGCGACGTAAACCCTCTCCCGAACGCCGCTATTGCGATGCGGCAGACGAGGGGAAAAGGAATTAAAATAAAACGGAACGCAGCAGCAGCAGAAGCAGCAGCAGACGCAGCAGCGGAACGAGAGGCGGCACCACCACCAGCAACAGCGGGACGACAATGCGGAAGAACAGCTTCACAAGCACCCTCTGGAACTCGTGCTAATATGAGTAATTTCAAAAAGGTGAAAATGAGGGGGAACACAACGAATGAAAAACAACAAAGGGCACAAGAAGCTGCACACGGTGGGGTGTATATACAGCGCAGAGCAGCCAGCTGCGCAGCTGCTGCCTCCTCTTCCGTAGCCTCATATTCTCAGGTGAAACGTTCTGACTTTTTTCGTGAACCGTCACTAACCCGGATCAAGCAAAATAACTGCCCTACAGCAACAGCACCAGCAACGGCAGCAGCAGCAGCAGCAGGAGCAAAACCAAGAACAAGAGCAACGGCAACAGGGAAGGTTTCCGTAGTCAGGAGAGTTGTCTGCTAAAGTCGCATATTGATTGTAATCCCGTTTGTCGTTTGCACTCAACATTTTTCGTTGTCGAAACCGAAAAGATGTGGCTGTCCTTGGTGGGCTGCCTTTACAGAGGTGCTGGTGAGGTGTCTGTAAACCGGAAATGGAGTTCTTTCTCGAACCAACAAATTTTGAATTTTGCGAGTTTATCTTCTGTCTCGAGTTTTCTTTTCAAAAGTTCATTTAGGCGAAAGAGCCTTTGGCTCAGAGGGTTTTATCGGTGTACAATCAATACTTTTGTTCTTTTTGCTGCAGCTTACTAACTAAAGCCACCATATGCAATTTAATAAGACCTCATTCGTTTGCTTGTCTGCACTCTAAACGGAGAAACAAAGGCAAGTGATACGGCAGAAGAAGGACCCATCAGCGCCGTACACCTCGGTGGTCCCTGGTGTCCTTGTTTGCTATCGTTTGCTTTCGCCTTTCTACAATATGTACAACATGTATAGGATAGATAATATATATAATTATATAATTATATATATAGGTATATATATATATATATATATATATATATAGGTATGCCTGCACTGTATGTATATCGGATCTACACCACATTATATGTACATGAATATACTCAAGATGCATGTGTGTGTATGCATATCTCTACATCTATGCGTACCTGCATGAATACAATCTCTTTTATATTCTAATGTAAAGTATAGACATGCATATATATATATATATATACATGTATATATGCATGTGCATATTTTCACATACATCTACGACGAGGGTTGTCCAAGCCAGATCTTCGCCTGAAATCGACTGAAAGCGCAAACGATGATTCTTCAGCGGCGCTTCCCGCTAAAGCGTTTCCCTTTTATATTCTTGTTCAATGCAATGCCCGTCGTGTTTTTGGTTCAAGCTATCGCTTTTTCTTGGTCATCTTCCTAAGGCTAGTGTGACCTTGAATTCAATGTTTTGCGTGCCCATTTCAGCCGATTGATCTTTAAAACCAGCTCATTTAGTAAAGACAGCTCTTTTTCTATTTTAACTCAACTCATTTTGCTTAATTTCCACCTTTTCAAAAGATGTCCTGATGGTGCTGATGAAGCTTCCTGTCCCCGAGACGTGCTGTCCAGATCAATTGCGTGTTGGCGTTATTAGGAGTAAAGGAGGGAAAAGCAAAACGTATTCATACAAAGTTAAATTTTTTATTTGCGTTTTGTCTCCTTTATTTTCGTGTTTTCCCCATGTTCATCGACTTTTGTGTGGCAAGCTCGCCAGCAGCTGGCGGTCTGTTCTCAATGAATTCCGGACAGTGCGGCGACAAGGAAAGCGCGAGAAAATGCAGCCTAAACGGAGGCTATAGTAGTGACATTCTAATTTAGTTTATCAAACCAAAAGAAGAATTTCTTCAATTGTGGTATATTTCCTGCTTTTGAGCTGTGTCACTTCCTGAACAAGCAGCATGCCGATACAGCGGTGGCTCGGGTGTTGCATGGTTGGCGTATGGCCGTGCGGTCGGTGGCGGTGTTGTTTGGTGAGTTGTTTTGTCTTACTTGTTCATCACAATACAAACTAACGTTGAAATCTTCTGTTATTTGTTCTTTCTTTGGATTCTTCATCAGAATCCCCCCACGTCTCGGCACAGAAGTTGCATCACCTCCAGCCTGCCGAGATGAATATTCAGAAGCCGGCATTCGGGGAGTTTTCAGGTTGTGTGTTGTTGATGTTGATTTCGGGGTTATTACCCCTCTTAAACTTAGAGGGTCTAGATTTCCCTGCTGCTTTGTCTATAGGTTACGGGGTTCTGCTGGTGTTGATGCGCGACGCGCACGTCAAAACCCTGAATCCAGCCTTAACTCTGGTGGATCTTTTCAGGGGACAGCAGGAGACTGGCGCGGGTTTGATGATAATACTTTCTCAGTTTGCAGGCGCTGCAGTGGGCGCTTTCTTGCTGGCGGCGTTGACGGGGGGTTCTCAGCCAGTGTTTCCTGCGGCGGCTGCGGCACCAGCAGGGCAGCTAACGGTCGTTCAGCTGGTGTTTGGTGCTGCTCTTGTCTTCGCCTACATTCGCGGGAATGAAGGCAGCAAGTACGAGGGCCCCTGGCTAGGTGCCTTGATGTACGGTTCGTTTGCAATAGGAGGCGAAGCAACGGCTTTCTTAAACCCAGCTGTTGCCCTGGGCGCTAACGCCTGCCGCGGGATCTCGGGGGCCTCCACAGAGGAAGCTGCGTTTGCTGCTGTAGTGTTCACTCCTTTGCTAGCAGCAGGGATTGCCTTTCTTTTGGATCGCCTCTCAGAGCAGCACCTGCAGACATCAGAGTTCGTTGGCACTTTCTTCCTCAGCTTCGGGTTGCTAGCAGCAGCAGGCAAGGGCACAGCAGCAGCACCAGCAGCACTTGGGCTCGCCTTCTATTCAGCGGCTATCGTACGAATGGCTGCACCCGTCTCTGGCGGCGCTCTAAACCCTGCTGTAACTGGAGGGGCTCTGCTGAGTGAAGGCCGGAGCATATCAAAGGACGTCGCAACGGTGTGGCTATTCCAGTTGTGTGGAGCAGCAGCAGCAGCAGTGCTGCTGAGCCGTATCGCTACTGCTGTTGCTGCGCCTCCTGCTGCAGCAGCTCTTACTTCGGGCGACGTGCATACGCTATTGCTCTCTCTCGCTGTCAGCTCGCTGTTGATGATTGCCTACTGCACTAACTTCGGTGATTTCTTTGGTTCTCCTGCTGCTGCATTTATTGGCGCCGTTTACGGGCTCTCTATGTTGGGGCCTTATCAGGGGGCCCCTCTAGCCATTAATCCTGCCGTCTCTCTTGCTGCTGCTGCTGCTGCTGCTCTTTCTGGGCAAGCTGCTACTCTCAACTTATTAGAAACTGCGGCACAAGCCTCCGTTCCCTTCGTGGGCTGTATGTGCGGCGCAACACTTCTTCGCCTTATTCCATCGGAGTACAAAAGAAGACTCTGATTCATCCTCCACTACCACTACAGACACTATATATATATGTATATATGCCGGATATCTACCCATGTATGCATGCATGTAGTGTTATTGGAGGGGTGACGACACACCACGCCCTGTGCAGCGCACAGAAAGTGCTGCCTTGTTATCTCTTCCTCTCATCCTGTGGGTCCTCCACGAGCTGTCGGCCAACTAGCGGAGATAAATGCAGGTGAATTGACAGCAGAAAGAGGTGCATTGCTGTATCCCGTGCATACATGCACGCAATTAAGCGCAAAGTGCATATATATATATATATATACATATATATACCGAATATATATATACCGAACCTATACTGCATGGAGACATGCTCATACATATTAGATAAATAAATATGTATGAATATCTATGTATATATTTATTTATATGCTGCTGTATATATGGACACAAGTCGTCAAATGTGGCCATACAATACGGCCGGCGGACCCCTCTTCGTGGTGCACTAAATGTATTTTCATGTGTAAATATATATATACATATTCATATCTATGTAAATACATGCGTATCCATGTATATATATATATATATACATATATATATCTATATATATACATGCATGCATATTCATGCATTTATGTGTATATGTACACATATTCATACTCGCTGCACATAAAAAGAAGGCAATGAAGACAGCGAAGTTTTTAAGAAGGCTTTAAAACTGTCATCTCCCGGTTGGCCGCCTCACAACTGTTTGAAAAGACGCGGCGTTTGCTGCCGCCGTCACCATTTTAGTTTTTGCTGTTTCTTCTCTTTTTTCTCCTCGTTTTTTAGTTTACTTTCTGCCTTCGGGTTACTAACTGGTGGCATACGACTGCAACTAGATAAACGAAGTGTTGCAGAGAGTGACGGTTATGCAATGTGCGACGGTTGGGGAGCTGTGAGCAAGCTGACGCGGGGCGACTACGCACGGAGTTCCAGCTGCACAGCTCTGGCGGGAGGGAAGGTGTTGAATGCAACCAAAGCGCTGTACTTACCGCGGGGGACGGATTGACCATGTAATGCTATCCAGATCTGCTGGCTCTTCTGCCGGCACCCCCAACAAGAATGTCTGCAGAGCTTTGCCGTTCTTTGCTTCAATGTTGTACTAGCACGGGCGACCCTCAGTTGCAGTGCCCTTGGCCTGACGAGGCAGCCTCAGCACTAGCGAAGGACGAGCTTACCAGAACAGCACAGTTGGGGCATGGAACAGTCACTTGTTCTGCTGCTGCTCATTTTCCTGCCTCCTTCACACTTCCCCTGCAACTTTCTACGGGCATGGAACAGTTACTTGTTCTGCTGCTGCTCCTGTCCAGTCCGTGGACTTGACGGTGCCTTCGCTCGTTATTGCCGTGCACGTCGAGTGGTAGATTATCCAGATCTGCTGGCTCTTCTGCCGGCACCCCCAACAAGAATGTCGGCAGAGCTTTGCCGTTCTTTGCTTCAATGTTGTACTAGCACGGGCGACCCTCAGTTGCAGTGCCCTTGGCCTGACGAGGCAGCCCCAGCACTAGCGAAGGACGAGCTTACCAGAACAACACAGTTGGGTCTCCTTATATTCACTACTATTTGCCAACTACTGAGCTTATTTAAAAGTTTAATTCTAGAAAATATGAAAAACACTGAATTGTTCATTTTCTCTGCTGTGAGCGCTCTGGGGCGGTCTCTGTAGTGCACAGCTCTCCCACAGCCATTACGACGTTTAACCCCATCCACGCATATTTAGGCGTACACACAATAGCGACTCCACTCTAAAGTAACCTAAATAATCAAATAACTGACTTCATACCCAGCTTCAGCTGACCAATCTGTAAAAAGGACAGCCGAAAGAGAACTAACTGCTGGTAGTCGCCCCAAAGGGTTCAGTGCCTCTGCGACCCAGTCAGCCCACAATCCCTGAGGGATGCTTTCTCTCGTAGCCCCGTTGATCACAATTCCGGTCCAAATGAGGTTTAGTAAATATTAACATTGCCTTACATCGTGATTTTCTCAGGAATAGGCCGCTAGAGGCTCATTGGAGGCCCTATTTAGTGCTCGTGCACTACAGCGTCGGCAGCAGTGCTGCACCGAATGGGAACCCACTACCAGTGCGGATCGTCATCTGGAGTGCAGTAGAACATCAAATTCTTTTTTATTGTTAAGTATTGTATTTACATTTTGGGCGTCTTTAAATGCTCCCCTCCTGCCTGGGGCAAATCGCAGATACCGTGGGATGCCTCGCCCTGGCTGCATCGAGGGCCTTCACGCGACGCGGCATGCATGCAGGGACACCATGAACACTGACCAAAGCATGTTTCGATCAGTCTTAGCCAGAAACTTTTTCCTGCTCGGGAAGAAAAGCGTGCACTGTTAACTTTAAACTTTAAAATGTATTGTTTCATGGCTTTTGTTCCCGTTGCCGATGCGCCTTCTGCGTCGCTTAGCGACATCCTGCAACGTGCAGAAGCTTCGGTCAGCGGCATTGAAATATCTTCCCCAAAGGATGACTTTCGTATTCACAGTGATAATGCATCCACAAGCACTGAGCTCAAACTCACTAGAGCAACTTTTGCGGCTGTTGTTCGGCTCGTCCTTATTGCCGCCATGGTATTCGTGATTCTTCAGTGCTTCAGAGCACTGACGTCCGGAAGACGTACAGGGAATCAAGGAGCCGCACGAGGTCTTGCTGAGAAAGGAGAAACGCCTTGCTCTGTGGGTCACCATATACGGAAAGCTGCACTTGCTGCAGCAATGCTGGCTTTTCGTGGATCCATCTTCGTCGGCGGCACTGAACGTTTGAGCCTACGATTGTGCCTAAAGGCATGATGCACGCGAGAGTTCCTAACATGCGTCGTGGATTTTTTAGCAAATTCGGGAAGGTTGTAGGAGCGGAGATTCATTGCTGCAAGAACCGCCCCACACAAAGCACTCTCTCAAGCTTGTCTGTTTCGTGGGGTTGTGGGGGCCCTAGGCAGCGGAGCTATCTGGAGTCGGCGCATTCAACAGTTCAGCATGGGTGAGAAGCCCTTTTTGAGCGACTTACGTCATGGGAGCTGCTGAAAGGAACAAGTGCTTGCTTTGGGGATGCCGCAGGTGCGACCAGTGGCAGCACAGCCTCTTCATTGGCCGGCTGCTAGCTAGTGAAAACTGAGTCAACTATTTGTATTCTGTGATATTTCATGGTTTATTTGGCTTCTTTCTGGCTCAGGAAGTGTGTTGTGCTGGATAGCAGTGTGCGTTGAACGGCAGGGGAATGCACCTGCCATCTCAGCACCGTGCGCACAACCACAGGGACACACACAAGCACACAGGGAAACTTTGTTAAGCTTGGACCTGGTGTGAATCTGCCTAGCGTGCCCGTACGGTTTTGCAGGGCGCCAAGGGCGACTCTGCGAAGCAGTATTGGCGTACAGATGCCCAATAAAAAGTGAAAGGCTACTTTCCTTCTAGACCTCTGCGGGCGCAGCGGTGGGCAGTGGCCAAGGCTTTCATGGCCTTGACGGGAGCAAGTGGGGATGCTCTACAGTAAGATACTTCTTGGTTGGCATGCTCGTACACTCCGTTTTTCTGCGAAACCGCACGTATGTCCGTCAGTGCCAGTCGGGGCTACTCTGGGCATAAGATGTAGGCAGTCGTGAGCACCAGATAAGTTTGGAAGGGACTGTCTGCGGTGCTTCACAGTTATCTACCTGTAGGAGCCATTTTGCCCTGAGGACAGTATAGGTGGATCCAAGCGTTGTGTAGGTCTACCAATGTGCCTGTTGGAGCACGACCGACTACCTAGGTGCACTTTCAAGCAAGCTCATGTTCCACTGTGTTACGACATAGGGGGTTGCAAGCAACTGGCTGTCTCCATACTGGCCTCCGTAGCTTGTACTGTACACCGTTGTACAAAAGTTGGGTAGATGTGAATTGTGAGCCGAAGCTTCGTCCTTACCTCCTACTGTTGTTGGGGGGTAGACGCTGCGTAGGTCTAGCACCTTACCATCCTGTGTGTGGCGAAGGATATACGGACACTTCTGAGCAGGCGTTTTTGGTAACGAAGCGAGGTTGGGCATGACTCTTTGGTTCCATGCTAGCCTGCATAGGTGGCAGCGTACACTCGCATACAGTAAGCATGCCATGTTATTCTAGGAGGTGGGTTAGGATCATGGGCCAGTCACGTGAATACAGCAACACGGAACCCTCAGTGCTCATGTAGCGGCTGGCCAATCAGGCGTGCAACATGCGTGCCAACAATCTCACTGAGTGGAAACCCCGTTCAACGCATGTACATCTGCTAACGACTCAGCTTTGTGACAGCTACTTCATGCAACATTGCATGCTCTTGTAGGCTGCAGCAACGGCTGGCATGGAGTATAGGACACCGCGCCTCCCCCAGCTGCCCAGTATGATTTCTGCTGATTTCTGCTAGTTTGTCACGCTTGTACCAGGGTACTGCTTGAGTTAGGCGTCCAGCCCCGCCACTAGTGTGCAGCGGCACGCTCTTGGCACGGGTTATTAGTGCGGGAGCCTTTCAAAGCATTGATTGCCGGCAGTTGTGAGCCGCATGTATATATGGAAGGAACTGTTTGTAGTGCATCATGCCTGGTTGCCTGTAGTGTTGAGATGGTACTTAGGTTCATCGGTCAGCGCGTACCCATCATGGGAGGGGGCATTGAGAGCTCTCCGTTTTAGGAGTACCGACGACGTGCCGCCGTTATGTCGGCTTCCCAGCTGCTCATCAAGAATAGTGAGTGGCCGTCTGGAAGGAAGACAAGGATTTAGGCGTTGTGTAGGTCGAGCGCTGTGCCATCCTCTGGGTGGCGAGGTATCTACGGACACTGCTGAACAGGCGATTGTGGGCGTTTGTGGTAAAGAAGGGCAGTTGGGCATGACTGACTCTTTGGTTGCATGCTAGCCTGCATAGGCCACAGTGTACACTCCCACACAGGAAGCGCGAAGAAATACAAGGTGAAGTGCAGCTGCGTGGTTGACGCCGTACTGAAGTTGGCGGGTTAAGCGTTGTG